ATGAAAAAAAAAGGAACACATTACGTCGATGGAAATTGTGTTTACATCACTGATGAGGACATAAAGATTGAAAAGGTACTAACTGTATAAACGCACAATTTACATTGTTAGATTCAGTATACATGTAGTTCATCTCTTTACGCATTTAAATAACGTTAAACTTGTTTTTATTTAACAAATAAAACATGGCTTTGAGGGCAATATACAAGTTTACGGACTGATTGGTCAGACTGAGGAAGGTATATGACCCGAAGCGCAGCTGAGATGATACATAAAACATAAAAATAAACAAAACAAATCTAGCACGATAAAAACACATAAAGTAGGGAACTAAAACTAAAAGAGTAATAATGGCTACAGTAATCATATTGAGTGTGAGTCTGATATAGGTATATAAAAATAGCACATTAATGAGACAATTACATAGCAAAAGATAACTAAATACTTGAAACATCCAGCATGTCAATGCCAAAATTTTGGTTTTTGATGATATATTATGTGATGTTACATGGTGTACAGGTGCAATTCTCCCCTTGCCGAGTATTTATTAATAATCTAAAATGGTTAAAAGGTGAAGTGTGTCTGTATTTATCTGGAAGTTGATTCCAAAGTTTGACAGCGGCACACCTGAAAGATTTCTTACCATATATGTCTGTTCTTGGGAAAGGTACCTCAACAGTATTTGTGTGCCTAAAATTATAGTTATTAAAACTTCCTAAAACTTCTATAGCTGATTCATCTCGCTTTATATTGGTACAATCAAATTCAAAGTCAAAGTAAAACCAATCAAGTTGTGGCAGTTACTTATGCTGCAGTTAAAATTCACGATATTAGAACATGTGTTTGACATATTGGTAAGTATAGCATCTAGCATGATTTGCAGGATAACATGTGGGTGATTTTATCATGTTTGTTAAATCAAAACTGTCACCTCACCTGCTGGGGCAAAGAGATGCATAGACACCAGTAATTCAAACCAATTTAGTCGTCTCTTACGATAAACGGTGCAATTCTAATTCCTTAACCATTAAAACAAGGGGATATAATTATGATTACGGATTACGAATAAGAACTAAAATGTGACTGTGCTGTTCTTGTTGCTGTGATATAATTAAAAATCATAAAAAAGTAAATTAAGCCAACCTGCATGTCTTTTCATATAATCATCCTTATTTTTTTTCTTGATTATGTACCAGTACATGTATATTAAAATATACTGCATTTTCAGAAATTTATATTTATACATATTTTAATTAGTAAACGGTTTTGTACTTTTCAAGTCACATTTTGCGTTTAAAACAATATTTTAAAAACAAATATATCACTTTATGCTGCCGAAAGTGGTTGGCCTTTACCATCTGCCACCAGCAAATAGCCCCACCAGTCTCCACATTCGTACAGTCTGACAAGGCTCTATACTCCGGTAGAAGAACATCTGAGTGATAATGGGCAGTTCCAAAAATGAAAGTCGAACCAGTCGTTCATTTAAAGAATAAAGACAGAATAAGGGTTAATACTCAATCAAACCGAGTCATTAATGCTTCCGAGGGATCACTTGGTTTCCAGAATTTTTTAATTATTCATATTTACATACTTGAATAAAACCTTTTTGTCTTGTAAGTTGGTGTATTTTGATATTTTAGTCGCCCTGTAACGTCTGCCCAAATGGACAAGTGTGTGATACAAAGTCTGGCGAGTGCAAGGTCAAAGGTAAGATCATACTGAATGGCAATATGCGTGTCTAAAAAAATTACAAGGCGATCCGATGATCAAAGGTTTAACTTTGATCATTATTTAATTACTATTATGACAATGGAAATTTGATATTTTAGACAGTCGTAGGTAATACTCAACTTTAAAAAAAGGTTTGTTTATTGTGATAAAACCTCACTTATACCGGCTTACACAATTTAAAAGGAGTAATTCATATATTATGGAGATTGACTTTAATAAGACCTTCCGTCAAATCCAATGCGTGTATTATGATAGTATGGTTGTTAAAATGATTGTATGATGTCTAATTATATAATACATATGTTTAAACTAACTCCATTTATCAAACTATGACATTGATTTTGTATTGCCAGTCAAAACATTGACACGCCAGACCTTTTTGATGAAAATAATATTGAATCCTTTTGTAATTACTTAAGAGTGCATCAGACCAACACTAGAAAATGGTAAAGTTCTTGGAAATGTGTATGATATAGGCAGTAAAGTTCGTTACTTGTGTAAACGTGACTTCTGGACGGATGTAAAGCACGCTGAGTGCCAAAATATTGGAACGTACAGTGCCATTCATATTTGTAAAAGAGGTTTGAATTTCGATCTTGAAATTTCATATAAGACAATAGTAATATATTCGCAAGAAGATTCTTTAAGGAGAGGACCACCATGAGCTAACGCAGCTCTCGGTCCAATTTCTTTTGCCTTATTTTACTGAATTTCTTCATGTATATATAAAGGCTATCTGTAAATTAGTGGTAACATGTTATTAAAACAAAATAATAAAAAAAATATTCATTTAACAGGATTTATTTAATGGTAATAAAATTCCAGCTTAACACGTATCAAGACAATGTGATTAATATTCAAATCGTACTGTATTGATACGTGTAGTTTTATTTTCTAAAACATATAAAAATTGCTTATAGGTCAATTATGTATCAAAGTCATTTTGTTTCTTAAGAACTTTCTATTTGTTTGGTATCTTGTTGCAGTTTCCAAATGAATATGCCACATAGATGAATCATTTAAATATCATTGCACGCGTGATTGACATTTTTTAAGAATTAAAAATTATGGATTTCTGAGGCATAATGTACCTTTAAAAAATAGATTTATGTCAGAGTAGTTTTGCAGTCTATATCATTGTTGTAATTTCATCACGTATTTCTCATTATATAAAGAAATAAGAAACTGCTCGGAACTGAAAAGCTGTAACTCCTCGTATACCGACGGCGAATACTGGCTCCAAGTCAATGTTTTCGAAGGACGCAAAGTCAAAATATACTGTCATGGAATGTCGACGGCAACACCTTCGGAATATGTTACAAGTAAACGTTTTCCTTTCAACCTCACATTATTACAAGTAAACAATTTCCTTTCAACCTCCCACAAAATTGTTTGGACAAAATTATCATAAATATAGTGTTGTGGGTTTAAAAATACAACACACATAACTCTGTCAAAACAGATCTTTTATGAGTCTGGTAAAATTGCAAAATCGGTAAAAGGTGCATGCTGACCTGTATCAAAACTGTTGACAAAGATATTATGTTAACGAAGCTAACAATTAAAGATGTTACCGGTAAATAGTTTGATAAAGTACATAAAAATCATAGTAACTATGTAACTAAGTCTTTTTTTTTTCTTTTTCCACCTTTTTTCGTGTTGTCCCTTTTCCACCTTTAAAATTCAAAACCTAAGCACGTTTTAATGAAATATAAAACCAGTTCCATATACAATCAACCTCCGGAATATGTATCAATATAGAAGTAGATTCAGTTACCCCAAAAATGTACAATCATGAAATTCATATCTATAAATATATAATATATTAAATTTTTTTCTTCGTATATTTCAGTTGATGAAAACAACAACTTTGGTTACGATGCCGGGGGTTACAACGCTACTGACGTTGGAACATTAACAAAATATAAGAAAATCAGGATAATCATTGAGGTAATTAGCGATAAAATGTTGTTTCTGTTTAAACAAAGAAGCGATATAATTTTTCTAATACATATGTCCTTTTAAGCGCCAACCATTTTTCAAGCATGTTTAAATAAACTCCCTGCTATAAGTGTAGTCTCTCAGCTCAAATTGGCAATACTTGGGGGACTTTTGATCTCATGAAAATGTGATTTAGTGGTGTATTTCATCTTCAAACGCGCTTCTACGCTGGATTATACGCAGTATAGAGCCTGGTCAGACTACACGAATTTGCAGGCGTGTTTGACACTATCTGGTGGCAAAGGTTAATCATTTTCGGTCTCGGCAAGGTAATGCTGAACATAATTTCGACATGTACAAAGGTCACTCTCTAAATGATGAATCTACTACGTACCTTAACTTATAAGTTTTTTACGACAGCTTAATTAAGAACAAGTGCCTAATTGATTAGTGGATTGATGCAGAATTGCCGTAGTATGCTTGAATTAAATTTATGATATACGTGTATTGAATAAGTTATGTATAAAACAAAAGTCAACTTAAATGACCTAAGATATATGTATTTTTGACTTTAGACGATGACAATTGAAAGAAAAGATCCAACGTTTAATGAGCCACCTACTTCGAAAATGCACTATGCAAAAGGCAAGAGTTGTAACTGTGTTCGCGGTGCTTGCCCACCATGGTTAGGGTATTTTCAAATTTCTACTGTAGGCACTGGGATGAAATTTAGCGAGAAGGTTAGTATTTTTTTTTTCGTTTGTTTCATATTATGTTGAAAAATAAAAGAATATATTTATTTGTAGATACATATTTTTTATTATATAATTTCTTTGTTATAATGTTGCGTTCCTATTTAAATCACGTGACTTTCCAGGGCTAACGTTATTTTATTTTGCATAATCATAGCGAACAACACATTTACAACAAAGAGTGTTAACCGCCTCCTTAACATCGCTAAAATACGCTTTTTAGTATGAAGGATATAAATTAGACTGAAATCATTTCTCTGTATAGAACTAGTATTTTTACAGATGCTCGCTTCAATTTGCCCATCAACATGTTTATTGGAATTTTTTATTGAATGGTAACATAACTGATAAATCAAACAGGATATTTTTCAAGTCTGAAAGTAGGTTAAAACACCGAATACGATCAAACTTTGCCCTTCTATAACTATTTTTATCAACCATGACTACTTTTATTAGGAGGAATTCATTATAGTTTAATATAAAAAGTATATTTAGGCAAATAAACAAATTTAAAACTGAAAAGAGAAAAAAATGAACATCATCGTCATGTTTATTATTTGTCATCATCATCATCATTATTATTATTATAATTATTATCATTATTATTATTATTATTATTAAATGAACAAGGCTTCTTGGATAGCAAACGGTCATAACCCTGGAATAGCAAACTTCTCTAGGAACGGAGACAGCACCGTTATTTCAGCAAATTGCGGCGGTCGCTGTGGTGGGTGTAAGCCAAATTGGTCATTAAACTTACTTTATAACGAAAAGGATGGTGAGTAAATATACAATCATATGTATCGTACAAATCATAAGGTAAATATTTACGAACATTATGTCACAAAGCATTTTTGTTTTGGAAGTGAAATCTGCTAAAGAGTTAACATACTGTGAAACAGTGTATTCTATTTAATAAGCGTCTTAAGTGTGTTTGCTTGATTAATTAATTAAAATATTATTCAATTCACTGCATTTGTTGAGATTTGAAAAGCATCGACATAATATGGTTCACTTTCCGGTTGAATTCATACAGAATATCCTCATCAACCCACCCATGAGTTTTTGTAGCCGATATAAAAGCATTTACTGAGTACGTGATACAATAATGGAATAATGGTAACGGAGTATTTGAATAAAAGTTATGAAAATGTTTCACAAAAATGTTTCCAAACCTGTACGAGTGCTTAGACAATGAACTGTTGGCTTGTATATTAAATATGCAAGAGCTAAAGAATTAATGATAAACTTCACGAGTAAATTTATAGGTTTATATACACATTATGTATTATTTGAATCTAAATTCTGTATATTGTATTGGATGCTGGCCATGTATCGCAAATAAAAAATCAAAGTATATATTGTATTCAAAATGAACTCGTAATGTATGGGAATTATTAAAACTTTTGTTGATATTATTTTCAGTGGTAGAAGACAGCAAAGCTATTCATCCCTACTGTGTGTAAAATGAATAACATGTTTGTAAATAATGGCTTCATCTGAGATCCAAAAGAAACGTTAAAAGATCGCGAGGTGCAACTTTGTCTCAAAACAAGGATTTTGCTTACAATGTATTTTGTATATTTTATGAAACGTGTATTACATGTATTGTTTACATTTTTATTCAAAATATTATTAGTGCCGTGTAATTGCCTTCATCATATAAGGTGATAAGATACGTTGATCATATTCTATATGTGTGAGTAGAAGCTTAGGACAATATATGATAGACATTTATTATAGCTACAATGTGATTTTAATAAGAGTGATCAAATGGCGTAAACCGAGGGAATGATACATCTCCCTCCTAAAATTCTACCTATTATCTAATTCATAAGTTCATTTTTACGAAATTTACTAATTTCACTATAAATAAGAAAAACAGATGTAGAGAGCTACCGACGTAGACGCTTCTTCGCTCTGTAGATGTAGACCATAAATCGGCCGATCTTTCTCATGACTCACGCTTTAACAGTGAATCATCTTACTGTTTTTGTTTTAACTAAGACTATCAATGTTATAAATAACTTACAAAATAACGGTGGGTATACTATACTCAGGTGCCCGCTCGTGCCTGATATATTACACCCAGGGTTCGTAAAACTGAGGTTAGCCACAATCCTTTTTACTGTGTTGGTGCACATTTGCACAAAACAAAACATTTTTTGCGTATCTTAAATTGCTTAATAAAGTTCATAAAGTATTGAGGACCCCTGTTTGTTTCTCATAGATCTCGTAAAATAGACTTTTAACATAATTAAATTGACGGACATGTCGATGAGATTCTCACAGCACAGTACTCTTCAGCAAGAGTAAATACATAAGCCCCTTTACACTACAAAATGTCCGTTCTACAAAAAAATTATAATTCAAGAGTACGATGATTGTATTTACTTTTATTAAAACAATGTTATAAATTAGTTTACATTTACATTTCTTAAGTTAAAATATTTTAGTATTATATATAGTTAGTGCAGAATTAAAGCTTTCGAAACACTTGACTTCGTTTGTTATCTGTTAGACTACATTTGACGTTGTCAGATTATGTCGTTACGTAAATCTGTCATTGACGTTGATTTATGTGCTTTTTTAAACCCATATATCTCAAAACACTTTTGCAATATCGATGTGAAATAAAGAGCAGCACTATGCAAAATAATGCTTGTTCTAAAATGTTAGCTATAAAACTAAAAATAAAAAAATGCCCCAGTGCCCTTTTCAAATGTGAGTTTCTGCGTATCGTCACACATTTAGACGTTCTTATTGCATTTCACCGTGAAGCCTCCCATTCATATATTTTTGTTTACTTAACTTTTCTTCAGAAATTATTAATCTTTAAGCTGTATTGGTTGAGTATGTCCATTTTCTGTCGAGGAAGGTTTTCTGTCTTAATATAGTCCTCGTGCATGCATAGAGATGGATAAATCAAAATATTAGCATAACTGTCTGTCAGTCCTCTTTTTTAGGGTAAATGATCATTACCAGAAACTGACCCTTATTAGCTTAAATCATTAACAATACCACAGTAACTACTATACTATCACTGTCACAGTATCAACAGCTATCATTTCCACCATTAACATTACTATAACCATCACTGCTACGGTTACATACATTGTCGTCATTTTGTCTTACACTGCACCAGCAATAACACAAAAAGAAAATAATTTACTGCTACAGTACCACTACTATCACTACCACAACTTCAATGGTTTTAGTATCAAGCTACCGTCCACGACCTCTAGTTCCGTCTTTAACAGTATGCAACATTTATCATGTTATGGTGAAATTTTGTATTTAGAAACATCCGCAGATGTGTTCATTGGGCACTGATAATGGGATCTTCAATGTGACACGCCAGTGTCAAAACATGAAAACCAGCATATTTTCCCCAAACAAAAGAATGCAAGTGCCTCTATCGAGCACACAATGGACGGAATTAAAGAAAATGAAATTTTCAAAGTTCATCAGAGGTCACAAAACCTGCATATCATTGATAAGACGTCAAAAGATTTGACTCTACAGTGTTTAAGTAAAAATACGGAAACCATCCACCCAGAAAAAGATCACATAGAAAGAACCAACCATAATAATACAAATTAGTGTCGTACTGAACGTTCTTCAAAGGCCCTAACATACTGTACAATTATATGCGGCATATATGAATAAATATCTTCAAAAGAATATTTACGTATAAAGCCGATGAAATCGGATTTATTTCAGTACCTGTAGTTTGTCATCGAAAGAAATCGTAATGTTCATATCGCCCCCTGTATGTATTTACATTGAAATGCACTAACCCGGAAATAAGGACTGGCAGAATAGATTCAAGCATATAGAGCTAATGTTCAACAACAATTTTGGTTTGTTGTGTTAGAGTAATTGGAAAATTACGTGTATTAAAAAGGCGTGATGCAGTGTATGTCAATAATAGTTCTTCTCCTTAAATCTCGAATATCCAGTGTAAATAAACTTTTTTTTTTATATTTCAACACCATTTTTAGTTTCATTTCTTTCTGCAGATTGTTTCTCAATTTCAAACCACTTCATTTCCAATAAAAATTATTGATCGAGCCTGCCTCTGGTTCCTTTCAACTCTTTTTATTTTTCGTACTGATCTGAAATGGTTGGGCGACCTCGCTTTCGATTATTCAAATGCGATTTCTTAATGATTCTGTACAGTAAATACTTCTTTATACTGTGCGTTTTTTTATGTTTAAATTTGAATTGATTTTTAGCTTCCTTTTGCATCTTATAAGCAGGTATAATGTGTTGTGAAAGCATCTGAACCAAATGTTTTGTCGCATATTACTTGTTGTAGTTGCTAAAATAATTACAACGCAGACTACAACTACAACAACCACAACGACAACCATGCCACTATCCACAACAAAAATTGGTCTGATTATATGTTTTTACATCTCTGTTTACAAATCTTTTTCTTACTATAATTTATTGGATTAATCAAATTCATTTAGAAATTTTTGTGACTGAATATTCTACCCGGGAAATATGTGTATCACCTACATAAACGTGTACGTGTAAGACATTTCATTAAATTTAATTGTAATTTTCAAGGAATCCAAGATTCAGATTGCTACATACAGTTAGCTTATTGTCCGTCAACATTTATTAATTGATTATAATAAATTACATAACAATAAAACATTTTCTTTAAATCATGAAATATTTATGCTTCAAATGTATGATTAACATGTACGCGTAAATAAGTCTGATTGTGCGGAACGTCCGCATTAGAACTGCCAAAATACCGTCGCTTAGATTCTTTTCCAACTGTTTGATTGTGACCAAGTAGAGAGATAATGAACAAAATTACTCAGGACAGGAAAAATTTAGAACCCGTGGCCAATTTCATTTATTAAAACTTTTAAGAGGACCACAAGGTGATGACTGATAATAATTCTAGAAAAAAATAATGTAGCTATATATTTCATCAGACGACGAATCAATTTTGTATATGAAAAGAAATGATACTGTAGAGTCTTGCTGATATCAAGTTTGGTCAGCAATTTTGTCAACCCTTGTCGGAGCGAACTAAAAGGATTTTAAAAGTTTCAATGCATTTCGTTGTTAACAGCTACGTTCGTTTAATCTTCCAACGATATTATTAAAGCAACCAAAACGATAACTTATTAGCGTTGAGAGGGATTTTATGTTTACATCGGACATGTCTCCAAAGTATCATTTTTTACCTTAGAATCAAATAAACTCTTTAAGGTGAGCATACGGTGGCACATAGGTAACATGTGTGTGTGTGCGTGTGCGTGTGTGTGTATGTGTGTGTTTATTTATCTCGTACGCACGAGACACTATGTCGTGGCCACGAGTTTTTTGTCGTGGACACGAGATAGCTAAATCGTGGCTTCGAGATACTATGTCGTGGCCACGAGATACTATGACTTAGTAACTCGTTGCCACGCCATAGTCTCTCGTGCGCACACGATAAATAAAAAAACACACATGTCACCTTCGTGCCACCGTTTCAGCATGATCAACTGTAAAAAATATTTATTTTCTGCCATGTCAAGGTTTTTTTAAATTTGAATTATTGCTATTGCGTATGGGGAATTTTCAACTGTTATCATGGTCGAATTGTTGCGTTTATATATAATTAACTTTTAAACATTACTACAGATATTTTGATATGCATGGTAATTTAACATATTTCTCATAGGAATTATCTTTGGGATGGTTCATTGTGTTAAAGATAATTTATAAGCACTTTAAACACGCCCGAATGAGCATTTGATCAGAGAACTCAACTAAATCAGACCAAATGAACAGATGATGCGCGTAGAGCAACACTCGTTTGTAGAAACAAAAGTCTACTGGATACTTAAAAGTAATAAGGATATATTAAAAAAGTTAGACATTAACATCGTTCGACATGTAAATTCAACATGGCGAGTTTTACTATTGCAATAGTTATCCTTAATTTTCAAATTTGTTTTGGTGTTTTTATGGTCAAGCAAGACAATGTTATATTTTCGTATAATATCACAAATATCTCTGCCTGCCGAACAGATACAGATTCGTTTCAGGGTATGTTAGGAATAAAGTTACAAGATTGTGTTAAAGAATGTGGCTTAAGAAAACATTGTAAAGCTCTGAGCTACGGAAGAAAACTTAAGATTTGTAAGCTATTTTTTACCACAAATGAAGCGTACTTGTTCAATGGAGATTGTATCTACGTCACTGATGATGACATAACAGTTGATGAGGTAATATAATTATGAACTAACACGTGAATTATATTGTGTATGATTATTGATACTTTTATGTTTTGAAGTTACGTAAAGTATTCTTATTGCTTTTTTTAAATATAAGACAGATATAATACATGATACTTCACTGTCTGTACAAAACACTGTATATATATACATTTATAGTTGTTTCTTTATTGCTCTTTTTGTTTAAATTATTTTTTTATTGTCAATAGAAACATGAAAATGCTTATATTTTTTACTAAAAGATAGTATTCTTAATAAAATAAATGTTAATTAAGCGTGGACTTCTGAATAAATTTCATTTCATTTTAGTTTTGTAAGTTGATTTCCATAAAATTATGTACATTCATATACACATGTATACTGTTGAGAATATAAATGTCTTTCATATTTTATACCTGGAAATAAAGAATAAATGTTTCACTAATGCTTAAAATGTCAACGTATCCTCACCTTTCAGCATTTGATATTCATATATATCATTTATTTCGTACTAAATAATCGGTAAAGCAATCCTTAAAATCACTTTGTATTTAAAACAGACCAAACACACTTAACTTCAATAATTTTCACGTAACTAAGACTGATTTAGAAAAAGCCTCAGAAGCAGAATTACAATAAAATTGCATCGGTTTGATTGAGTCTGTAAATGAGAGATAATAAAAAAGTACAACATCCCTTACGCAATTTAGCACCGGCAAAAGGATTATTATAGGTATTTGTTATTTGATATTTTAGTCGCCGTGTAACGTCTGTCCGAACGGACAAGTGTGTGATACATCAACTGGCGAGTGCAAGATCAAAGGTAACACCTTATTGTATAACCTGAAAATGTTTGTCAAGAAAATTAATGAGACGTCCACAAGAATAAACAGTTAAAAATGTTTAATTACTACATTGAAAATTACAATTTTTATCCTATATTATATATGCTCAATATTAGGATATAATAAAGCATATTGAAAAAGTGAACAGACTTCAACATTGTTTATTTGATATATGGCTATTTTTTCCACAAGGCGTACGCTATTGTTAAAACTGCATTTTATAAATATGTCGAAATATTTTGCCGTCGGCCCAAAAACCAAGCAGTCTACACTTTAATTGGTTATCGGCTAATAAAATTATAAAAACATCCGTTATATAATGCAGAAATATTCCGTGAAATTCGAACTGCTACTGAAAGCAATATATTTGTATATTTTCTGTTGATGTTCGGATGACCTAAAGGCGAAGTTTCAAATGTAAATCGGAAATGTACTCTCGATTTTGCCACACATTAGGTTGCTGATTTTTAACCTTATAATACTCCATAAATGTCATTTTGGTCGAAGAAATAGAATCCCTAAAGAAAGTCCAAAACGGCAAAATTGAAAATGTTGCAAGCTCGGATTGATTTAATTTCATTTAACAATTGTAACTATTTCAGTATGCAGTTTAATGTGCAATTGCTAGTCAATACAGAGCTAGCATTCTTACCTCTTTTTTAAGCAAATAATATTGAGTTATTTTGTGCAATTTTAAAGAATGCATAAAACCAGCAATAGAAAATGGCGAAGTTCTTGGAAATGTGCATAGTACAGGCAGCAGAGTTCGTTACATTTGTAAAAGTGACTACCGGTCAGAAATTAAGCATGCCGTGTGCAACAATTATGGAACTTATAGTGCAGTTCCAATTTGCAAAAGAGGTCTGTATTTTTAGATTCATTAGTAGATTGTGCACAATGAATATCTGGAAATAAAAACAAAATCTTCGTATTCGTCATTACTCTTATATTTCTTTAACTACAACAAAGCCAAATTAAAAAACAATGCAATTTGAACGAGTATAGGGTCAATTAAAATCCTATACTTATTTCTGTGTTTGTACAGTTTTTACTCTTAAATTTTAAAACCTATACAAAATGCTTGAAAGATTACGTGCCATCGTTCTAATAAATCATTCAATGTCAATTTATTAAATAAAATCTAATTTTTGTTTTAAGCTTTTCTAATAAAATTATTTAATATTGCATAAAGACATAAGAAACTGCTTGGAATTGAAAAACTGTAACTCCTCGTATACTGACGGCGAATACTGGCTACATGTCAATGTTTTTGGAGGACGCAAAGTCAAAATATACTGTCATGGCATGTCAACGGAGACACCTTTAGAATATATTACAAGTAAATAGACTTTTACACATCCACACTAAATTATTTAGATGTTATATATGTATTTTCTTTTCGCGTTTACCATAATTATTTTCAGTACACATTCCATAGTCAAAATAGAAAATGTAGGCGTCAAGTCTAATTGCAGAGATCCTTTGTCAGAAATTGTCATTAAAATATCAACTGTGAATTGTATTAGAATCCCAGCACGTACTAACAAATAAGCTTTCTTTCGTTTTGAGTAGTGTTTATTTCCTACTTAATTAACTAAAAGATCTATAGATCAGGGCTTAAACCAGTAGTAAATGCAATATGATTTATAGGGTTATAAGTAACCCAGATAGAATCAAGCCTCCGTCATTTCATGAAGTTATCAGCGTTTATGTAGATCCAGTTATCCCTGAACATATGTTATGTCAAATTAATATTTTCTATACCTTTTATTCTTTATATATTTAAGTTGATGAGAACAACAACTTTGGTTACAATGCCAGTACAAACGATGACAATGCTGGAACATTAACAAAATATAAAAGAATAAGGGTAATCATTGAGGTAAATAACGATCAAATGTTTCATGTGTTTAAAGAGAGACGCGTTGTGAATCTTTTGCAGGTGAAACCTTTAAGCGGCAAACAACTTTTCAAACATTTGTATACACCTTCTCCACCAAGTGTAATCGCTCAGTTCGGATGAGCACTCTTTTAGGGCTTTCATTCTTCTGAAAGTTTGATTTAATGGTGTAGTATATAAACGATTGCACCAAAGCATTTAACTTAGGGCGTCATGTACTGGGTGCCATGTTTATGTATTGCCTTTGAAAGGATATTTTGACGTCAGAAAAAAGCGGCAGTTAGAAAGTTATGTCATGCACTGGGCGACATGGTATTATATACACCACCGACATATAATAATGACGCAGTGTTCTAATGTATCTTTCGTTCATGCAAAATTTTGTATCTGTATCTCTTCCATACCATGAATATTCAAATTTGCAAAAAAAGCTCTCATTGAAAAGCTTTACAATTTTGACTTTCGAGTCATTTATTTTTTTTTTGGGAAAACGGAGTTTCTGTAAATGAACATTGCACCTCGATCACATGGCATACTGTTATATGCTATGTATATGTATCGCTAATTAGAATTCATCAAAAGACTTAACTTTCACAATAACGTTTTATCACCATTCGGATGTGTTGTATATCGAAAAACCGTCACAGTTATGTCTTGATAAGTTTATTTTGATCATATTCATTACTTTCACACGTTGCATTTTTTTTATCAGCGAATAACACCAAGAAAGTTATTTTCCGAAAAATCTAATTCACATTGTAGCTGCTTATTTCCTTATTTTGACTTCAGGGTTCTATTTTTTAAGCTATATATTATCATTTCAAAAATAACAAGAAAAGCTTGTTAGCAAACAATATGGAGCCTTGTCAGACTACACAGATGTGCAGGCTGGCCTGGCTTTATACTGGCGGCGACGGCTACTCATTTACGGTTTCTGCAAGGTAAGATATACATGTATGTGCAAAGGTCATTCCCTCAATGACAGTTTTATTTCGCACCTTAACTTACAGTTTTAATATAGTGCTTAATAAAAATAACAAGGTGTTAATTGTTTATATTAGAAAGCAAAAGATGATTATTTGGAACGAATTGATGCAGAAATAGTATTGTTAAACTTTGTCTATGTCATACATTTATCTAAGTATACAGCAACTTGACTGATTTTCAATTTATATTTCTAACATAAGTCGATGCAGATACAAAGAAACGATACAACGTTCAATTACCCAACCACTCCAAGTCTGGAATATGCGATGGGCTGGAGTTGTAAGTGTGCGAATTTCAACGATCTTTGCCCTCCATGGTTAGGATACTTTCAGATATCAACAGTTGGGACTGGTTTAAAATTTAGCGACAAGGTTAAATGAATGCATTTGTTTTTCGTTCGTTTGTTTGTTTGTTTTAAATCAGTGTAAGAAAACCTTTTCAAATTCAAATACATATTATTAGATTATTATTACTATTTAATCCACACGATAACCTTTATTTTGTAAAGCACATTCGTTAAAAGCAACGCAACAATATCTTTCAAATAATACTTACCCAACTTTGTATTTTATACCAAAGATTCTTACAGGACTTGTTTTGATTTTAGGTTAAACTAGGACATTTGAGGATAGATATATGATTTATTCAATCAATATGTTTATTTAAAACTGATAAGAAAATAGTTTCCCTTACAATGTGAATGCAATTTTATTCTCAATATTCTCCATCAGATCAATATGATCATTTCGTAGTCAATTAATAATTATTATTTCCTGAATAAGGCATCTTGGGTGACTAAAGGTTTTCTGCCTGGAATAGCAAACTTCTCGAGGAACGTAGATAGCACCATTATTTCAGCAAATTGTGGCGGTTATTGTGGTTGGTGTATTCCGAAAGAGCCATTACACTTATTTTATAACGGAAAGGGTGGTGAGTTATTATACATGCATATCTTAATGATGGTTTGTTTGATTGTTTTTTTTTAATTCGAATTGACACAGTCTAGGCCATATGACGACGTTCCAACTTTACTTTTGGAGGAAGACCTCAGGTGCCCTTTCATGCATTATTTCTGGCACGAAGTGGCACCTGAGTAGAACCCCCAACGTTCCGTTAACTATCTGGATAGTTTCCTCACATGAAATGATCCAAAGTCCTTGTCGGGATTCGAACCCACAGCTGTGAGAGGCAAGTTGTTTGAAGTCAACGACCTTAACCACTCGGCCACGGACACCCTTATCTTTTTGATCATTCGATAATGTATGTCTTTAATGCCTGTTGTAAAACAATTTGCAAATTCATGACTTATTGAAACTGAAAGAGGGGCATTTATTTACATGATGTAAAAAGGACAAGTCCATATAATTTTTTATTTATTTGAACTCATCATCTTGTACTCGGCAATGATTAGCATCAGTTTTAGCTTTTTAAATTTTCTTTTCAGTTGTAGAAGACAGTAAAGCTATTCATCCCGATTGTCTGTAAATCGAATGAGATATTTGTGACCAGCAGTTTCATCTCAGTTCTCAAAGTTACGAAAGATTAACCTGAACTGCCATTTTGTGATACAACTCAGATTTTGTTTTCACTTTCACGATTCATTTTGTATGCCCTATATACCATGTAGTTCTTGTTATTCAAAACGCTTTAACTTTCGTGTAAATGTCTTAAAGGTCAGAGGCCACCATATTCAAATGTCACTTTTAATAATAGTTGTACAGCAATCAACTGCAGGATTAAAAATATACAAAGCTTACAACTGTTGTACCATCAACCTACGGATACACTTGCAACGAGTTAACAGGTGTGTTAATAACTTGAGTCAAGAGTTACAAAATAAACCGTTGCAACGGTTTACAATAACAGCATGATAAACATTGTAAAAACCTTATATGAAATTTTTTTCATCGGACAAGACATATTTTAATCATTTAATTGCATATAAGTTTACAAGCCTGTGGTGAAATTCTATCTTTTGATGACATTTTTTTTCCAAAATTGCCCAAACTACAATGTGTGAAATGTAGCTTAAATAATTGTAAAGGAGATTTTCGAATTGTTAAAGTTTTTCTGCAGTAAAGCCAGTTTTAAGCCAAGTTTGATGTTTCAAGTTATGTGTGTAATGAACATCAGTTCAAATTAATAAACAAAACAAAAATAACATTTTAGTACGTATAACTGTTGAAGCCTATGTTGTTTTGATTATGATGGTTCGCTGATGTTTCTTCTTCTTCTTCTACAGTGCGATAAAATGTGTCTCTATATTTGTGTCTCCATACTTTCGTCTGTCTTTGAAATATAATTCTTAACATTTGCAATTAACTGAAGGAATTTAATTGCTTTGTAGAAGACATCAAAATATTTTACATTTTCTGTAAATGTGTACTGCTCTTGCACGAATTGAATATACATAATTATAAGAATGATCAACATGTCTCGTAATTACGAAGGTATATGGCAAACAATAGGTATGTGTTTTCTGTTTTCAATAGATTTTGATACGTAGATTGCAATGAACACGATCAAAACACGTGCATTAATTCAGGCATAAATGGGTACCTGAGTAGAACCACCGATGTACCGTAAGCTAACTTGATAGCTTCCTTACTTAAAAGAATCCAAAGTCCCTCACATAAATCGAACCCCCAGCGGCGAGAGGCAAGCGGTTTGAAGTCAACGACCTTAACCACTCGACCATGGACGCCCCTAAGCAGTTTATTGATGACTTTTTTACTGCTAACGATACTGCTAGGGAAAAAAGAACCATTATAATCATAACGGTCATTTTGCAAAAATAAGCATTTAAAGGCTAAATGTTGCATCTCTTTCAGTGAAGTTTATATGTTCATAGCCGACGTATAGGATTATGCTTAGGCTATATACAGTTCATTACGGTGGGACAATGTTTTCTTGTTCTTTTCTTTCCTTTTGAAACTTCTTGTCACATGAACGTCCAGTAGAGACCTTACCTCTTATTCCTCTTTAACACAAAAGGCTATCTAGAATGTGTGCCAAACATTTCCGCCAACATGCATCAACATTTGTATGTTCTTTTACGTCTGGCTGTTTGTTTGATATCCCGAGTGAATCTGTCCGTCAAGTAAGAGACCGCTCTCAGTTGATACCAGGAACGGGTGTCCGTTCACAAGAAAGAAAAAATCTGCATCCTTAAAGAACGCTAACAACGGGAAACTTGAAAATAATGCAGGCTCTGTTTTGTTGGATAGTAGTGGTAAATGTATCTTTTGTTCATGCCCCCTAGCACTTAAGCAGTATTCATTTTTTAGCATGTAACGGTGGAACTTTGAATTCAGAAACATTCGTTATCGGTGATCAAGGAACCTTCAATGTGACACGTTCATTAATGAAAAGTTGTATATGCTGCCCAAGTAAAAGAATATTTGGCCCATAAACAACAAATCAATAGGGGGAACTTTACACAATGGAATTTTGAATTGGATCGAATGTAATGAGCTTGAAAAAGATTTAAAAAACAGGCAATCGATATAATTATTCATGATTATTATACAATGTTCAAGCAAGGGAACTGGAACCACCAGACTAGAGAAAGATCAAACAGACGGAGAACTAAAACAAACACACAACACAGTGTCGTGATAAATGATCTTCATGGATCGGAAATTTAACATGTTTGATTGATCAAAGGTATGAGGTTTATTGCGCGTTCAAACAGAGGAGGTATTTGCATCTTGGGTGCAAAATAGTTGCATATTGTGTTTTAAAAACTAAAAGAAGATCAAATAAATAATGTTAACTCAGTCACAATGTATGTCCGTATAATAAATTGGTCCTTTAATCATGTTTCGCATAGAAGTACATTGTATTATCAGTCTAAATTGCATTTAAAGAAATCGGTGCATATCATAAGTTGTTGATTACAGCAATCTTAAACGATAATACAACAGGTTGTAAATGCATTGGAATAACCCCTCTATTGGGTTAAAGTTCTTATAGTTCGTAGGCTATACACATAACAGAAAGCAACTGTAAAGGTGCCATCAATTCCGCACAAAATGACTTCATGAATTTGACTTATAAATCTGATAACACTGTCATTGTAACCAGATTTTTTTCAAAGTTAAACAGTTACTTTACACAAAAGCGATACGCTTCTGTGTTCTAAAGATAATTATTTGTAAAATAAAATGCATATGCATATATGAGCGATATATATTGTCCTAAAACTGCAGGATCCATCTCCCATAAACTTATAAATATTACACGAGTATAGAAGCAGCAATTACTATCTGCACCAACACCCCTCCTCGTTTAAAAACAAAATTAAGTCGGCTTTTAAACCTCAGTAATTGTCATACAAAGACGTTCATTCTTTAAGCAAACGCTTAAAATTATTTCTTTTTAAATTAAAGAAAGTCCTGAAACAACTTTCTTTCTCAGCTTTTAGCTAACTTCCTTTTATATGCTGAGTGCTTTGTAGAGTCACTTGATTCTTTGACTAGGAATTTACTACATTGTACAAATTCTTTACCATTTAATCTATTGATTGGACACATTGAAAACAAGAAAAAGTTCAAAGTTAGAAAACCAAATAATAATAATAAATTATACATGTAATAATTTATTAAAGTAAATACATGCCATTTCATGGTACAATGCGAGAAGGAATACCACATCATTATTATCGTGAGTAAAACAACAACAAGCATAATAAAAAATGATAATGACTTTAAAATATGCATTCTTTTCGCCGATGAACATGCAAATTGCGCTGGTACTACGATCGAATTTCAATCTCAGTTAAATTCAATTTCAGAATTTTGTTATAATACCGGTATGTCTATACATGAAAATAAAACTGAAATTATTGTATTTAGAAATGGGGGACTGCTAAGAGCATATGTAAAATGATTCTACAACGGCAATTCATTGTACAAATAAATGTATATGGATCTTTAATTTACACCAAAATTATCTTGGACAAAAGCAGAAACCAAACTTGCTGCACAAGCTAGGAAATCTATCTATGCTATTAAATCATATCAAAGAAATTTTGAAAGTTCTTACACTCTGATTATTTGAAATTATTTGACTCTATGGTAAAATCTATACTTACCTATAGTGCCGAAATTTATGGAAGTGAAATCTCCGAAATTCTTGAACAAGTTTAAATACAATAATATTGTAAAGATTTTCTACGTGTTAATTATTCTGTTAATGATAATGTTGCATTGGGAGAATGTGGAAGGATGCCTTTACGTATTGATTATCATGTAAACATTATCAAACTTCTTTTTATGCCAGAACATAGATATCCTGTTATTTGATTTTAACTAGACAAGATAATGTTGGAAAGAAAAATTGGGTTTTATCAGTAAAAGAATTATTGTATACTTATGGGTTTGGCTTTGTATGATTGGGGATATCGATATATTTATTTGCCAATTCAAACAAAGGATTATTGATTGTAAAACGCATATTTGATGGAAGAAATCAGAATTCACCCCGATGTATCACCTATATTTTTTTTCAAATCTATGTTAAATCCTGAAAAGTATTAATCTATTGAAATGGGATTTTATGTAAAAAGATCATTTTCGAGATTTAGATGTTCTAGTCATAAATTATATATAGAAACTGGACGACATTTGGGTATACAAAGATATGAGCGAATTTGCCAACACTGTTTGCAAAACTTTTAACAATTCGTTCATCGGAGATGCATTTCATGTATTTTTTATTTTAAACAAGTTGTTACAACAAAGACAACGTTATATATCTCCATGTTACAGTCATGATTATACATTCCATATTTTTTTGTAATTTGATTTAAACTCAACATGAAGAAAAAATAATGAATATTGCTTTTTTGTTCATGAAATTGTGAAAATTGTTGATAATTAATATAAATAAGAAAGCATGTCATATATAACAACATATATTGTACACACATAGAGGATATTGAATGAGTGAAGTTTAATACTAAATTTATTGAACGAGTTGAATAAAATCATATTATGTGAGCCTCTGGCGAGCATAATATTGTTTTATTCAACGAGTTCAATAAATTTAGTATTGAATCTACACGAATACAATGTTCTTTTTATCACATAATTATATAAAATAAGAACGGTAAACTGTTAAAATGAGTAATTTTTCAATGATGCGTTTATAGTGTAACGCTAACTAAGCGCGCTTTAACGCTATGTTTCTATATAGCGCAAATGACGTCACGTCAAAGTGTTATTACACTAGAGTAAAATCGTTTTTATTAAATGGCTTTATTACACTCCTGCGCCGCGGTTTATGTGATAAATCTTAATATGCATATCTGCTTTCATTATATTGTGTATTTTGGGCCGGAGGCATTTATTTACAAAATAAAATGTTGTTGTTGTTGTTGTTGTTGTTGTCTTAAATGTCAGAGGCCACCATATTCACGTGCCACTTTTACAACTTATTGTGCAGCAATCAATTGCAGGATAAAAAGAATACCAAGCATACAACTGTGCTACCCACAACCAACGGATCAACTTTCAAGAGTTAACAGGCGTGTTTTAAATGTAAGTCACTATAATTACAAACAGAACAATGCAACGGTTTACATTTACAGCATGATAAACATTGTAAAAACCTTATATAGTTTTTTGTCGGACAAGACATGCATTAATCATCTTATTCCATAGAAGTGTACAAGCCTGTGGTGAACTTTTATCTTTTGATGACATTTCATTTCAAAAATTCACAAACTACAATGTGTGGTATAGAAGCTTTTAAATGGTAAAATAGATCTCCAACGCTTTTGGTTTGAATTGTTTAAGTTTTCCTGCAGTAGACAGATATCTTTCTTTTAGTCCAACTGTGATGTTTTAAGTTAAGTGTGTAGTGAAAAATCAGTTCTTTTTTTATCAACAAAACAAAAATGATAACATTTTAGTACGTATAACTGTTGAAGCGTATGTGGTTTGGATTCTTTTTCTTTTACAGTTATGTTATGCAACGAACTGAAGGAATTTAATAACTTTGTAGAATTTAAGGACGTACATGTACTTAATGTTATGTCGTTTCATATTATATAGCATTCTTGATTCTTCAACGTCATGACTTTAAGTATCTATCTATCATAACCTCGGCATAATATTATTTTACATTACCTGTTTACGAGTATTTCTCTTGCATAAAGTGATTAAACGTAATTATAAAAATGATCAACGTGTCTCGTAATTACGTATGTCTATGGCACACAATAGGCATGTTTTTTACTGTTTTCAATAGATTTTGATATGTAGATCTCTATAAAAACAATAGAACACGTGCATTAATTCAGGCACAAATGGTTACCGATGTACTGTAAGCTAGCTTAATAATTTCCTTAACCTTACATGAAAGAATCCAAAGTTCCTCAAAGAAATCGAACCCACAGTAGTGATGGGCAAGTGGTTGAAGTCAACGACCTTAACCACTCGGCCACGGACGCCCCTACAAACACATTTACAACATTTTATTGATGATTATGATACTGTTTACGACACTGCCAGGAAAAAATAATAAATATAATCATAACGGTCATCTTGCAACAATAAGCATTTTACGGCTATATGTTCCATATCTTACCGTGAAGGATATTTGTTGTAAGCTTTAAACGTTGTCATAACCGACATATAGGTTGATGCATAGGCTTTATAACGTTAACTAGGCTACATACACTTAACTAGCCTATATGCAAGACAATGTATTCTTGTTCTTATTTCCTTTTTAAACCTCTTATAACATGAACGTCAAGAAGAGTCCATACTTCTTATTCCTCTTTAACACAAAATAGGAAGAATACCCGCCTAACATTTTCGCCAACATGCATATATGTTCTTTTAAGTATGACTGTCTGTTTGACGTCTCCTTATTTTTCCAAAAGATCCCTAGTCCGTCTGGTCAAATATCGCCCTCACTTTAAATCAGGAACGGTTGTCCGTTCACAAGAGAAAAACATAATCCTTAAAAACGCAAACAACGGCTAACCTGAAAATGTTGCAGATTCGGTGGTTTTGTTGGATAGTAGTGGTAAATACATTTTTCGTTAATGCCCCATAGCATTTGAGCAGTATTAAAGATAAATATGTGTAAAATAAAATGCATAATGCATATATGTGCGATATATATTGTCCTTAAACTGCGGGATCCATCTGCCATAAACTTATAAATATGACACGAGTATAGAAGCAGCAATTACTATCTGCACCCCCTACCCTCCCCGTTCAAAAATCAAAATTAAGTCGGCATTTAAACCTCAGCAATTGTCATACAAAGACGTTCATTCTTTAAGCAAACGCTTACAGTTATGTCATTTTAAGATAAAACTTCTGAAACGACTTTCTATAGCTTTTACCTAACTTCTTTTTAAATGCTGAGTGTTTTGTAGTCTCTTGATTCTTTGACTAGGAATTTGTTACAATTTTTTTACCATTTAATCTATTGATTTCATACATTGAAAAAAGAGAAAAAAATCAAGCTTAGAAAATCAAATAATAATAAATTATAATAATTTATTGTAGTATATACATGGCATTTCATGGTGCAAAGCGAGGAGAAATATCACAGAATTATTATCATGAGTAAAACAACAACAAGCATAATAAATCAAAGCACAGAAGGTGCTGAATTTGTTTGGGTCTCAGAATGTAAGAAAGGTGCAGGTTGTGAGATTATATGTATAGTGCCACCAATGCTTTCCAGCGTTTTAATTGTAGTAAATTGGCTATAAGACTAATTGCAACACTGATATTCAATCCAATGTTTATTTGACTTTAACAATTTGAAAAAAAAATGAGTTACCTTTACTGGGATTTGAACTCCAGACCTCTCGCTTCCTAAGCGAGCCCGAAAACCCTTCAGCCACGGTGAATTTATATGTGAACGGGCTGAAGAAAACCATATTATTCTAAATTAGGGCTTGTAACGACTTTAACTGTTGTTTAACACAGATGTAAATAATCCTGGAGCTTACTATAAGCATTTATATTTATAAAAAATCAAAGTGCTGCAAGTTCTGTGGTATTTTCTGATCTTTGCAATCTAAATCGTACTGTAAATCTGTATGCATTTTCCTGTATAGGTTCATTTTTATGTATTATAATTCATTTTGCAAGGCACCAGAGTTTGATACATACGGAATTCTGCATAACTAGAGTTGCATCAAAATATCATTTATGTTCATTTTTTACGACAGTTACACTTTATCCTTGCATATCATGGCTACTTCCTTAACAAAAACACTTAAAAAAGAATTTATCAGAAAAAAAATTTTCCTCGACTGGGATTCGAACTCGAGTCCTCTCACACACTAAGCGAGCGCGTTACCACTGTACCACGGAGAAGTTATACACAGAAAGTCTGATAAAATATCAAGTCATTCTAAATTGAGAACTTCCATTGCATTTCGGGTTTGTAATCCTTATTAATTTCGAGGTATTTTGTTCAGGGTAAACCTGTTGTTTAAAATTGAATTAAATTTTTTAGCGAAAATCCTCTCGCCCAAACAGTCCGACATGTAGAAGCTATATATTCCACTACTCGGTTTGTGTGTAGTATTCGGTTATAAATAGTATTTTCATTGATAAAATCATATTCATCCGCGTAATTTGTGATTGTGCATTTATTGACAATTCTATAAGCCAACGCTATTGTTTAACTTTAAATGCGTTGTAATTTGTTGGATACTTGTAACAAAATAAAATATTTCTTTCTTTTAAATCGCTAGTTTTAAGCTGTTTTGAGAACTACTTGTTGTTAGGTTTGTTGTAAACTTCTGTGTCAGAGATTGAATGTCCGCTTTGTATTTAGTTATTTTCGATCAGAAAATACAATAAAACAATATTAGAAACCTTCGACCATTCGGGAATTACTTTGCTTGAAAATTGATGCGCCTGTCTTTGACCATCTTTACGCAGTGATCTCCCCTGAATTTTTCGGCTTTAGTGTACATACAAAAGGGAAGTAACCGCTTCAAAAAAGTGGACTACTTTCGGCATTTGCAATTAAGAACATTATACTCTGAAATTTCGCTACCATTATTTGTTTGGTCTGACGACCCAAACAAATAAAAATGAGTATGATTTTAAAATGAAACATAAAGACTAGAAATAAGAAGACAAACTAAGCATAGTAAATTAATAATCATTTTGAAATACTTTATATAAATACCTCAAAGTTATTAATAAAATGAAAAGATGTACAAGGCCAAGTATTCATATACACAGGATGACACAAAAATGAGTGAATTCACGTGTTGTCATTGTGGTCCAGGATGTAATGTAATGATATTTTTAATTATCTTAAATTACTAAACATGCTGGTATTTGAAAACATGTTAAAGAAAACTTAATTGATATATCAATTATTCAATATTTCCACCAAGTCTTCGATATATTCAAAGTGTCTCTGCCTTTGTGAAATTTCTCATAGTTTGAATGTTTCAAACTGGTCATACAAACCAATTATTTCTTTCCAGTGCACACAGCTATGTGTATAAAGTTTCAACATTAATTTTATTAACTTTATAAAACTTGCACCTAGTGTGCACGATGTGTTCTAAAAAGAGAAATTGAGTTCATTTTATAATTAAAGGATTTCAGTTTAAATGTAAATTTGGAAACAAACAGGCTATTGAGAGCATTACTTAAATCATGAAGGTTGGAACTAATGTCGACGTCACAAACAACGACCGTGATGCGCCTTCGAAAGGTCTGTAAACGAAGAAGCAACTCTGTATGAATGTGCATACACTTCAAATTTCTTATCTATGCTTTTTTATTTAATGTTTGTTAGACACAAAACATAAATAGATAGTTTGAGGTAAAATAAAATAAAATATATATTGTTCAAGTCATCACTACAAGTGTCATACGATTATTGATATTTTATTCTTACATTAGTATTTCACCTCACTGATGTGCTGTTATAAAACATTAAATAAGACAGCGACTATCTTTCATGATATAACACATCTATACCAAACGAATTAAAATTATCACAAATGTTGCAACCTAAGAAGGTTAGTTGTTAAACTCCGGTATCCGACTATGTCTATAATAATGTAATGAGGTGCAACTAATGTCTTCCTTTACTACAAAAAAAAAATAACAAATTTGGAAAATCAAAACATTATCTCTACAGTGTATGTTACTTAAAACTCTTAAAATAACGCTTAGCATACAATTCTTAATTGATTGTTCTTATAAATTGTGCATAAATGATGACAATCAAGTACAAATAAAGGTTTTACCACTTTGTCACCTTGTTCGTAGCACTTGATAAAGAAACAATGTTAGGAGTGTGAAAATGCCGTTCAGATAGTCATAGAATATAACACTTGGTCGAACGTTTATCTTATCTTTAGACCTTGTCTTACACCAATGCATGTGCAAATGTTTATAAAAACGTCTTTATTCTAAACTGGTTTCACTGAGGATTAGAAAATGAATGGACTAGTGTATATTTGTATAGCAGCTGGATCTTTATTTTGTAAAGTTGCCTATGCTATCGATAAATGTAAGTATTATAAATTTCATGCTTCCCTTAATATAGAAATTTAACATAATATAGAGGCTGAGATATATTTGTGTATAGACGAAGCTGTGTTTTAACTTATTGAAGAATCGGATTCTACTTCTAGTATTTAAGAACATCAGTGTATCATACCCTCCTTACTCGTTCGGTTAGCTCAATTGTAGTACGCTGATCTGTTACTTTGATTCCCAGAAAATGCAGGTCAATTTCGTTGTGATCGATAATGAATTTCTTTCTACGGCCATTGTACCTGTACATTGTACCTCTGTTCTGGTATGTTCAGAGGTAATACAAGTTTCTTGCGAGAGTGAAGGCACTCGTTCTGGTTAACTGCTTGACAGCTTTCCTATGAACGATGCTCTGACTGAACTGTGTATTGTGAACTCTTGTGCATTCAAAATGGCTTACTGTCGTAACTTGTATTTCAATATTACAACACAACCTCAGTTGGTTCCACATTGTAGTAGTATTTGAAATTTGTAAAGCATTCATTTTTACACGTTAACTCAATGTGTGGTCAAACATATGTTGTGTACTGTCATTACAATACTCTCTCTTACAGCATGTCCTTTCAATCCGGTGGATATTGTTTTCGTTCTGGATGGATCTGGTAGTGAAGGTGCAAATAATTTCAACAAACAGTTGAAGTTTGTGGAAAACATTACAGAGCAATTTGAAATAGGGGAGAATCATACTCGCGTATCATTGCTAACCTTCGGAACCGGGTTTCACAACGAGTTTTACCTGAATCAGTATTATAATAAAACACAGCTGTTATCACGTATATCCAAGACGCACTATCCTAATGGTGAAACGAATACGCATTTGGGTATAGAAATATTTGATTAGTTGCTTTTTTTATTAAATCTAACCCATTCTGTTAAATAAGATAAACATTATTCTTTTTTCAAATTAGTCATGAAATTTTGTGCAAAGCATTCTGGCAATCTATTAAGACTGCTTTTTGAAAATTTAATTATACAAAATGATTTTGTATGATTTTGTATTGATAATTATCTATTATCCTTCTAATTTGAAGAAATTGTTTTAAGGAGACTCAAACAGCAGCACAAAATTATTCATTTTCAAATAAGTTATGAGTAACTTATAGAAATAATGCTGCTTACATTTAGATCCGTCGGCACAATTATTCTTTTCAATGTCTACATCTTGATCGAGCTGGAATATAATATTAACAAGCTGTTCATTTCCAGCCATCAATTTTGTTCGTACTAATACGCTTGGTCACCGTCATGGTGGAGACAGAAATGTGACAAAACTTGTGATAGTGCTGACTGATGGACGGTCACTAGAACCTTCTTCACTGCAATATTCCGTGAAGGAGTTAAAGGTATGCTAATTGGCATTATGCATTTATTGTTTTGTTTCATATACATATTTCATTAGCTTGGGTTGGGTGGTTATTCGGGCCTATTGAGCTATAACGTAACTGGTAAATTCATTAAAGAAATCAATTACAAAATCATTTGTTTAAAGTGAAAAAAAGTAAAATAGAAATGTTATGACAGAAATAAATATAACCAATATGTATTTGAAAATAATGTACAGAACTTACAAACTAGTGTTAATTTATTGACAAATTTAGTGCAATGACTAAATAATAACACACATAATACAAAAGTTAAAATCTTATAAAAAAAACACCTTTCAGTTAATGTCCGTTATTTAGTGTTCATTGTTTATTGACAGAAAAATCCACTTGTCACGACAATAGCTGTGGGAATAGGCGGTTCAGTAGATCCACAGGAATTACTCATGATTGCTAAAGATGCAAACCATACGTTCCAAGTGAGCTCATTTGATGCTCTGAACACAATTCAGGGTGAGGTGACAGACACGGCATGTAACGGTAATTCATATTTGATACAATTGTCTCCGTGAAATATTGATATCCTGCTTCCGTTATTAAAAGATATGTTTCAAATTGGTTAAACCTATACTTATTACTTTATAACGTCATAATAAATTAACATCATAAATATACTCTGATAATAAATTTGTTTTTCTTTCTCTGGTATGCTAAATGCTTTTGAATAACCTAGATATTATGCTAAATAAACCAAATTGGTATTCTTTAGTTAAATAGACTCTTTGTTTTTTTATGAAACTTAGATTTCTCAAAGTCAGAAATACATACATTAATTAGATAATGGTCTCAAGACCCGGCATGAACGGTTTGAAAATTCGACTATAGGCATGTTTCCTAGAAATATTTGAGATTTTATATTTCAACCGTATTACTTTAATTTCAAATGAAATAAATAATCACGCATATTAAAGATAAGGAGTAATATCCAAATGAGTACAATTACAAACTGATCGTTGGCATAGGCCTTTATGAACATCAAATTTTTGAAACGTTGTGTTATTTTTGTAACGTCTTAGAGGACGAATTTCATGTTAAGACAAAAATAACTCACCAAAGACAAGATAATATGTCTAAAAAGACTTGTCAAATAACCCAAACCAAAATGTAATATGAAAGCTGTGAACATTAATCTATCATGCTTTTTTGAAGCGAAATGCCATATAGAAATACTGAATAGACTTAAGAATATGTTCATTGTTGCATCTACATTTGTTAAGATAAATATATATTGCAAAGAATACGCCAACAGTTCTATCATCCGCTATCATCCGCTTAGCTATTCGTTTCTAGATAAGCTTTTAAATAGGTTAGAAGTATTTTACCATGTATGTGTAATATGCGTCCGTCTAAAACGAAATAGAGAATACAGAATCCCTAAACAAAGCCCAACTTGGCAAAATTAAAACTGTTGCAGAATCGGTTTGATTTATTCGGTTCATGGACGGTACTAAATTAAAGTGCAAGTTACCGTCCACGCACCCTAGTACTTTGAAAAAAAACTTTGTATGATTGACGCGTTTGTATATTTTCTGCTGATATAGACGCTACTATTTAACATAGAATTGATATACACGTATGATTACAGTTGTTTGTATCTATTATATGTATGTATTTTTAATAGTTATGTCATGCCACCTTTTCCATTCGCTTTCATATCCATAAATGTCTTATTAAGTATATCGTGTAACATCTCACTGTCTGTGATAATATGATGCTATGTTTGTCATCCGGGCATTTTATCATAAGAAATTGAATTGTGAAATTTGTGTCATATTGTAATCGTCATAATAATAAAAAATGTTATTTTGTAATTCGCATATACAACATTTCAAGTCTTTATTCTTTGCAGCATGTAACAACATCTTTTCGGATGTTTGTTTTGTCCTTGACTCTTCTGGAAGTGAAGGTCCGATCAATTTTCACAAGCAGCTAGAATTTGTTAACATGGTTGTCAATGAATTCTCCTTCGAAGATGGTGCTCAAACACGTGTTTGCCTCGTCACATTTGGAAACAATGCACACACGGAATTGAGGTTTAGGCAAAATAGTGACAAAGAAACCATTATGTCTAATGTTCTTAAAGTTCCATATATGTAAGTTTTATCTCCTAGCTTTTAAAGAAATTTGATCTTTTGTCTCTCTGGATTAACCCTCAGTTACAACCCCTGCGAGTGGGAGGATAAAATTATAATACATATAATTTTATATAGTTTAACCCTTTACCTCATATATACGCGAAACAACGCACTTTCGACCCCCCCCCCCCCTTGTAGGCCTCAAATAGTGAAAAAAATGTCCTATTTGGGCCCCAAACACATGTTTTCGTTTGAGAAATGTTGCTAAAAAGAAGAGCACTTTTTCGGCGCCGCCCCCATCCAAAAGATACATTAGGGGGTTGCCAGAAGGGGGATGTGCCCCCTTCTGTTAGGAGGGTTTGAAGGGAGGCGGAGTCCCCCTCATCGCCAAGAAAATTTTGGACTTGTGAGAGGCTTAACATGACCCCAGGTCGATGATAATGTAACGTGTAACCAACGCTGAAAAGCCTTTGACTCTATCTCAAATCCTTGAGAAGTTGCAGCACTTTGAAATAAATTTTGATGGAAAAATCGAGGCAAAATAGTGATTTTTGGCAATTTTGAGATGTCCCCTCTTTGCCATAATAACAGGAAATTTAAGACTGAGCATGTCGTTACAAAGGCAATGGTCCAGTAAACATTTGTGCCAAGTTTGATTAGTATTGAGGCATTTTTCATAGTTTCATAGCAGTTTGAACTTGTAACAGGAGGCTTTTCAGTGAAAACGGCCATTTTTCACAATGTGCTCATGGGGGAAAGGGTTAATCAATTTCATTAGAATTTGAAACTTTGGCAAAATAATTGTCTTGAAAAATTGAATTGATTGGGGAATATGGTAAATTAAGTTATGAAGGTGAACATATTTGGTGTGAACAAAACAAAATGATCAAAAGAAGACAATGATGTTTATTTGCTGATAATATTTTATTTTCAATCGTATATCATAGAAATACGAAAATGTTTCTTTATATTTTCCAACATATTGATTCGGTCTATTTTATTGTTTCCGTATCCGTTTGCCGTATGTCGTCTCATTCTATATTATATTACATTTTTAAGCTTTAAGATGACAAGACCTTTTTGTTGTTAACGGTCGGATTGTCGCTTATTTCATTTCATTTCACTTTAAAGAAAATTATAAAGTATCTGTATATGCTATTATAAGAGATTTGCATAGAATTTCTGTATATTGTAGTAATGGTGAAACGATGACAAATAAAGGTCTGGATTTGGCTAGAGCCGAGCTTCGGCACAGTGTTGGGAGTAAAGTAGTAATTGTGTTGACTGACGGACGGTCAACTGAACCTGATTGGACAAAACGGGCCTCCGAGCATCTACACAGGTTTTATATCGATATGTATATGTTGCCAGAGAGTGATGTAACACTTAATATTGCATCATTTAAGACGCGCAATATATTTTATATTGTCTTTTGAATAATTTAACTTCAAATAAACGTATAGTACTAAAACAAAAGGCGAACGTTGCATATCGTTCATGTTGATTTCTTATATATTTTTTTATCTAAAAAATAAGAAAATGTTGGTCAAGGCGGCAAAAATATAATTTATTTTTAATTATAATTATATAATTATATATTTATCAATATTCCGAAATTTTTCAGAAAAGATGGTTAAGCGCACACCATAGTTGTGTATTTTATTTCTTTACTTCTACGACGTCATTCTAAAATGTAACCATAAAAAGGGTTGTTCTTCTGTGTTTATCTATCTATGTTGATGTGCATGCAACATATTCCTCCCACGCAACAAGTTCAAACTACAAAAAATATTCAGCCGGTAAAATTTAATGATGAATGATTTTGTTCAGTTTAAAAGAACGGGCCTGTTAATCTTTAGCGGGCAAATAGTTTTAACAGTGGTATGTTCCTTTAAAACTTAAAAGATAGATATGTATTTTTTCCTCATATTTCCTTTAAACGTATTAACACTAATGAAATTTGAAGTGTACTTGTATATGCAAAGGTGTTGATTTATTATGTTATATATACGTATATTATTTAGTCATGTTTGTATATTTCAGTCAAGGTATTGAAACATTCGTTGTAGGAATTGGTAATAATGTTGATACTAACGAATTGAGGGTAAAGACATAATTATGTATTCATTTTACTTCGTAATTTCTGGTATAATTAAGTATGTAGGAATATATATATGAATGCCAGTGGATATTTTAGTTTGCCTTCACCACCAGTAATGAGAGCAACAAATACATCTGTGCAATTTTAACAGACACTTTACGGGTAGCCGCTCAACTGTAGCATTTTGATATAACAACAATTCACAGTTTAAACTTATAAAGCCAAGTACGATTTTGATACATAATAAGTGGGATAAGACACAAGTTAATTTGTATGACATATTTTAAAATTCATATTGAGAACTCGAATTCTGTGTATATACGAACTCAAATATCACACCTTTTAATTCAACTTCAGATTGTTTTAAAGTAATTGATCTAGTCATTTTGTATCTACAAGAAAGCTATAAACTGTCTTATCTCAATCAAAAAATTCTTTGCTGTTTTTCGGTAATAATTTATATCGGCTTTCTGTATTTTACACCAATATCAATTCAGGTCTTAATAATTTTTGTTTTGTTTTAGGTCATTGCTTCCGACAACGATCACGTGTTTAAAGTCGGTTCATTTGATCAGCTTCCCCAGATTCACAAAGATATTGTGGATAACATTTGTGCAAGTACGTTCTAATATATATTTTATTTCAGAATTTATATTCTTCTAGTCTTTTACATTGCATTAGATTTAAAAAGTGTTGAGTATAGACACGCATTTTGTTTACTTGGGGACCATATGCCGCTTTTCATGGAATCGCACGTACGTGTCACATTGAAGGTTCCATGTTAACCGCCATATGAACACATCTGCGGATGTTTCAAAATTCAAAATTGTATCAGTTCATGTTTAATGTTGAATTCTGCTTCAGCCGGTGCTTGGGGGCGTGAACGGTAGTTTGCACTTGACAGAACCGTCCATGAACAGGCTCAATCAAACCGAGCCTGCAACATTTTCAATTTTGCCGTGTTGGGCTTTCTTTAGGGATTCTTATTTTCTCTATCTTGAACCCTCGAAGGTGCGGCAAGATACATATTATACAAAGTTTCATATGTACTTCTATTGTTTTGAGAAGGAATAGACAAGCAAACAATGTCATTTTACAAAGTATCACACTTAAATGAGAATAAAGAATAACTTTAGACATAATTGACGTAGAGTCTGTAAAAGAAACTTTTATTTTCTGCTAATGTAAGTATGAATGACATATTTATAATCGATTATGGGCTTCCGTTTTGCATCTAAAAGCAATCTATGAGCACTTATAATGTGTTGTGTAAGCATCTAAACCATTTTTTTCTCGTGTAGCTGCTAAAAGAATTACAACGTCGACTTCAACTACAACTACAACAACAACCTTGCCACCTACCACAACGAAAGCTGGTCTGAATTTATACCCTTACATCACTTTTTGATAAATATTTTTCTTATTCTAATTTATTTTATTTCGTTTAAAATCTTTCGTAACTGTACCCTGTAAATTCTGTTTCACCTTCATAAACTGATATAATTCTTACGTGTAAGACAGGTCTTTCCTAAAATTTGATTGTGATTGCCAGGGAATCCAATATTCATAGTTCTTCCTACAACTACTAAGTATATTATTACTCGTCAACTTTAAGTATTATGATAAGGTACAGAACAATAAGAAAATTTACTTCAGATCATAAAATGTATATTATGCTTTACCTCTGCTTCACTACAGCCTGTGGACTGAAGCCAGCTGACATTGTCTTCGTGCTCGATTCGTCTGATAGTGAAGGTGCAGACAATTTCAAAACCGAAGTTGATTTTGTATACGACTTTGCCGCACAGTTTTCCATTGGGACCAATAACGTCCAGTTCAGCGTGGTCACTTTCTCCTCTGATATCCGTAATGACTTCTACTTCAACAAGTACCATTCCAGACATTCTGTTCTTCAAGCTATCCGCAATATACAGTATATTGGTCAAGGAACGAACACATCCGGAGCGTTGAACTTTGTGCGCACGCAGAGTCTACTTCCGGTGCATGGGGCAAGGACTAATTCATCCAAGTTCGTAATTGTCATCACTGATGGACGTTCAGATAACCAAAATCAGACCAAACTGGAGGCGAATCTTCTGCACAAGCAGGCACAAGTAATCTCTGTAGGGATTGGACCAGCTGTCGACCAAGCAGAACTAGCAAACATTGCCTCACACCACCATGTTGTAACAGTAAACAGCTTTGCATTGCTCAAAACAATCAAAAGACAATTAACTGATCTGGCCTGTGAATCGGGATGATGTACATGAAATTCAAAAATAATTTTGATTTTTCAATATCATTGATTACACATATATATATTGTTGTTACATTATATATCCCTAGTACATTTATAATTGTCATAAAAGTACAAAAGTAGAGTCAAAAATGTACATATTATACCTTCAAATCATGTAATGATTTTACAAACAACAAAACTTGCATACACAATGCCTGGACGTTAACTCAGTTGCAATATATACTATTATTACGCATATGCTAAATAAAGATCATTATTTTTACAACTAATAAAGACATTGGTCGCACACCTACAAATTAAAAGCATATTAGCAGTAAATATGTAAATATTATTTTATTATTTATTTTTTTGCGAAATGAACACTGGAAGCTTTTATTTAGCTATAGATCAAACTAAAAACATAAACTATACAATTTTCAAAGCACTCCTTGACATATCTTATAATTTGAATCTATGAAATAGTTTACCCATTTTCGTTTACAAATTCGGCAAACACCGTTAAGTATAAACGTAGCAAAGTAATAGTATGTTAAAGGTTTAGTGGAAAGAAAGTACAAACAATGATTTGTTGGGTTTTGTTTTTACTGAAAACTGTTATTGTAATGATTTGTGACAAAGAAGAAAACAGTCGGGAAAATAAGTGTATCTCGTCTTTAAAGGAAGACAATTTGATGGAAAAAAATTGAAGTGAGGTTATTGTTGGTATCCGTGTCAAAATCGGGACACTTTCAGTGACATGAATCATGATAAGAACTGTCAGCGTTAAAATTGCCACATTGCAGTAAGTTTTATCCTGTTCCAACCTACCCATTGATAGTGACCATTTAGAGCGTAAACGAAACCACAGGGCATAGACAATTTTGACCCTGTGGCTATTCTTGTTTATTAGACTTTTTAGAGGACTGAAAATAATTCTAGAAGAAAAAGTATAACCGTATTGTTTATTCAAACGAGATTTACTATTTCTTTACTGAAAATTAAGGAACAAATTATAATTATGCTAAGAATAACCGCAAAAACATGTGATCCAACTCAGCTCCTATATTTAATACAAGAAAGAGGTAAGAATCATGGAAACTTCACCGAGATCATGTTTAATAGATTTACATCTAATATTATGCGACAAAACTAAGATGAACGTTATATGTTGAAATGTAATGAATTCAGTACCGTTCTCACACCTTTTCAGACTAGTTTGATATTATATCTGATCTTTACATTGTCGTATAAAACAGGTATTATTGGTCATTTAATGCTTGTGCTTAATAAATCCTGTCGTGATAATGATATCATTAAACTATGCCGACACATAATAACATGAAGACAAATACTAAAAGAAACAGTTACAGACGCAGACCAATGACCAAACCAACATAGTGTGTTATCAACCAGCATGGATCCAGGCTAGCCTGCGCAATCTCGCAGATCAATAACTTAGATAGATAAAACTCAAGCGTATGTTAAGATCTTTCTCGGGATTGCTTTTGAGCTCCCTTGGGTAAAGGCCTAGATCACAGTTAACAAAAAAAATAGATTTTGTTTCCGGTCAATAGCTTAAGTTAAGAATGATATACTTTAACGAACGTGCTGTGTAAAGCTTACTTTTGTGCCCTCTGGGCCAAGGTCAAAGTCCCTGTTACTGAAAATAGAAAATCTGTTTCCGTTCAATAATAATTAGTTTCAATAAAAAAAAACTTGGTTTGTAGTAAGCTTACATGACGATCTTGGTTTGGATTGCTTTAAGGAATGTGATATTTCAATGGAAGCTTATGTGAAAACCTCGCTTAAGATTGCATTTCGGGGCCCTAGGTTCAAGGCCACTGTTTATTTATATAACAAAATCAGTTTAAAGTCAACTATAGTCTTGACTGATCTATGTGAAAGAAACTTGGTGTGCAGCAAGCTTATCTAAAGACCTTCCTTCGTTTTGCTTTTAGCATCCCCCAACCCCCGCCTAAGGTTAATATCGCTGTTACTTAAAAACATTTGGTTTCAAGTCAATAACTAAGATTTGAAAAAGATTATCTAATGAAACTTGCTATTAAGCAAACTTGTTTAAAAACATCTGATCGCTTTTGGGGACCCTCATGGCTAAGGTTAATGTCACTGTTATTAAAAATATAAAAAAACTGGTTTCCGGTAAATTACAAGATTTGGGAATGCTATAGTTTTTATTAACCTTTACTCGATTATCTCCATTTTATGTACCATTCAATACTACTTCTTGATTCAATGCCAGATCAATATATTTATTTCTATTGATTCATTTGATCTGTGAAACCAAAAATTCTTCACATCCACAACGTTACGGTGTAATACTATACATGTATTTGCTTGCTTTGCTCGGACTTTTCATTTAAGATATATTCATCATTACTTAACATTACTCTTTTAAACTTTATTTGTCCTGATATATTTGAAACATTTGTAGTACTTTTACTTTTATTCTCCCCGAACGCGGTAATCAAAATACATTAAGAACCTTAGGCCAAAGCAACAAAATTGTTATCAATGGGAAATAAAGTTTGAAAATATTATAAAAATAACAATAGAAGAGGATACAGATAAGCTTATGGATAAGTTAGTTATAAATTCAATAATTTTTATGTTTTATGTAAGTCTGAAAGAGCAATGTAACATTTTCATGTTAAAAATGTCAATTATTATTTGTCCAACCACATGTTATAATACACACTTTGATGCCATTCCCATGACCCTTTGAGGACATGAAGTAAGAAGTGCTTGAGAAAAATGTCACATGCTTAAATATACAGTCTAAATAAATAAAAACGTGTGAAAAAAGACTCAGTAGTCTTAGTCTTTTGGTTCAGTTAGTTGAACAAAATATACTGACGAAGATTTTAATTCACTTAGTCTTGTTCTTTTTTTAATCTTGGTACCTTAAATATATATTTGTTGCAAAAATAGCAATATAGTTTACGAAATCATTGGTTCGACTGTTATGCGGGTTGTGCAAAGGGAAAGTTGACCTTTTTGGATCAAAATGAAATATTTGACCTCTTACAAAAAGCTTGTGTCTACAATTTCACAAATTTTATAGATTTACATATACGATAATAAGCTCGGCCAGTATCAGGGGTTGTTTGTGCTAGACAAGTTACAAAATACAGTCTATTATTATCCCCCGCCGAAAAATTTCGGCGGAGGATATAGAAATAGTCTCCGTCCGTCCGACCTTCCGTCCGTCCGTCCTTCCGTCCGACATTTTTGTCCGGAGCATATCTTTAAAAGTATTTAAGTTATCAACTTAAAACTTCATAGGTGGATAGACCTCATTGAGGAGGAGTGCAGTGCACAAGAATGATAACTCTATCTTGCATGATTTTTGAGTTATTGCCCTTTGTTATTTTTCAAAATTGATTTTTGTCCAGAGCATAACTCCAAAAGCCTATGAGATATTAACATGAAACTTCATAGGTGCATAGATCTCACTCAGGAGGTGTGCAGTGCACAAGAATGATAACTCTACATTTCATAATTTTTGAGTTATTGCCCTTTGTTATTTTTCATACCTAATTTTTCACCTGAGTGGAGCATAACTCAAAAAGTGTTTGAGATATCAACATGAAATGTCATAGGTTGATAGATCTTATTGAGGAGGAATGTTGTGCGCAAGAATGATAACTCTTCCCTATACAATTTTTGAGTTATTGCCCTTTTTTTCATGCTATTTTGTCCAGAGCTTATCTCAAAAAGTATTTGAGGTATCAACTTTAAACTTCAAAGGTGGATGGATCTCATTGAGGAGGAGTGCAGTGCTTAAGAATGATAACTCTACCCTGCATTATTTTTGAGTTATTGCCCTTTGTTATTTTTCAAAATTAATTTTTGTCCAGAGCATAACTCAAAAAGCCTTTGAGATATCAAAATGAAACTTCATAGGTGCATAGATCTCACTCAGGAGGTGTGCACTGCACAAGAATGATAACTCTACCTTTTATAATTTTTGAGTAATTGCCCTTTGTTCTTTTTCATACTTAATTTTTCAATTCAATTTTTTTCTCAAAAAAGTATTTGAGGTATCAACTTGAAACTTCATAGGTGGATAGATTTTACTGAGGAGGGATGCAGCACACAAGAATGATAACCTACTCTGCATTATTTTTCAGTAATTGCCCTTTGTTATTTTCAGCCATCAGTATTCACATAGGTTTCAAATCTGTAATCACTATAGCCATCAGTTTTCATTACCAAAAGACCTCTTAAAATGGAATTATTCCGCTCTACTACATATACATTCTTCCAATGAGCAAACACATTCGGCGGGGGATGGCCATGTTGACATGGCTCTTGTTGTATTATTATTGTGAACCATATCGCTATAAGGTAAAATATACTATACGAATTACATTTCACTAAAAAAGGAATGTCAAATTCTAAAGAATGCTCTATACTAGTATGTCTACTGCAAATTGAACTTTGTTCACATTCCCTTAGGGCAAAGTGCATTTATCATGCAGCCTTACCATTTTGCGCTCGTTTAAGATTGCTATTTAGTGAGAAACTCCCTGTTTCGTCCATAAACCTTTTTGCTAAACAGATGTCAATAGATGGGGTTTGAGCGAGTGTTTTGATGCGTCGGACTACTATTTTTAAGATTTCTGGCCATACGATTTCAAACCCTATCATTACACACATTGCTTATTTAGTACTGGTAGGTCGGGTGAGTGATTATAATCTTATAGCTTTCTGCACAATGATAAATTCTGTATAAACTAAACAGAAGAGAAGCCATTTTAAAGCATTACAAATGTTGTTTCGTTGGGGTTTGGGTTTTATTTTTATCAGCAGAATTTCAAAGTTTTTTTCAAATGTCTTAAAAATAATTCTAATTCTTTGATTTTTCAATATGTGTTAGGGAAAGTATACGATTCACTCTTTTAATCAGGCGTTCAGTTTTCAAAATCCTGGTTATGAGATTGGTGTAAGCGGGGGGCTAGTGAGCTTCAATAACTTAGTTTTAATTAACTTGTCTTGAACAAAACTGATATATTGCAAGCTGATGTATTTCTTGAGGGGCCCGAGGGTCTAAGTCAAGGTCGTTGTTACTACAAAAATTAAAAAAGGTTCCGGTCAATATCTAGAGTTAGAAATAAGATATTTCATTTAATCTTAGTAAGCTTTAAAGTTTAGGTTTGCAAGCTTTGGTAAATATATCTCGCTTGTGAATGCTTTTCTTTTGGCCCCTAGGGTCAATGTTAAAGTCGCTGTTGCTAAAAACAGAAAATCTGCTTTTCGGTCAATTACTAGAGGTTGGAATGAGATGATTCATCGAAACTTTGTGTGTAGCAAACTTATGTGAAGATCTCGCTTGCGATAACTTTTGGTCCCTTTAGGGTCAAGGGCACTTTTACAAAATAAAAAGAAATTCGGTTTCTAGTCAATAATTTCAGTTTGGAATGAAACATTTCAACGAATCTTGTTATAAAGCACGCTTTTGTTAAGACTTATGTGAAGATCTCGCTTGCGATAACTTTTGGTCCCTTTAGGGTCAAGGGCACTTTTACAAAATAAAAAGAAATTTGGTTTCTAGTCAATAATTTCAGTTTGGAATGAAACATTTCAACGAATCTTGTTATAAAGCAAACTTTTGTTAAGACTTATTTTTGTATTGCTTTAAGGCCCATCAAGGTCACTGTTACTAAAAAGAGAAAATCTGTTCTTGTTCAATATCTCGAGTTAGGAATGAGTTATTGCAATTAAATTTGGTTTGAAGCAAACTTATATGAAGACCTCGGTTTGGCTTGCTTTACGGTTGCGTAGGGTCCAGGCCACTGTTACCAAAAAAATAAAATCAGTTATAACAGACAAAGAATCTTCGTATGCAGCAAAGACCTATCTTGGTTTTGTTTCTCTGCTACCTATGACCAAGGTTGCTGTTACTTAAAATGGAAAAAGATATTCAATGAAACTTGAAATTTTAATTGTCATTCTTTTTATCAAATAACAAATGTGTATTTCTTGTGATTATTCTATTGATGTATTTATTCACCTAGCCATTTCCGTTTCGCTTTTCAGGTTTCCGCTAGAATTCAATGTTAAATTATAAATGTACAATGTATATCTATCTATTGATAAACATTGTACCATATTAAATATGATATATGGACGAACATAAACAATGATTGAAATACTAATTCAAAACGAATTTCTATGAATAATGAAGTGCAAAGTGTAGTTATAATCAATACAGTTATTTGTTGAGACAATGGAAGCATTTAAAAGGGTAGTCAATGTAAAACACCTTATAAATAATACACGAAGATATACAAGAAGTTTTCCGTCATCAGTAAAGCTGAAAAGTCACCTCATAACCATTACAGCGTCGATGTAGCTAGAACATTCAATGAAGTTAAAACTGATGTAACATTGTATAGAGCAATTTCTTTTATAAAAGAATATGCATGTAGAGTTATTATACTTTTGTTTAAGTGACTGAAAACTTCAGTAGCTATGTGCCAATGATTCTGGCAGAATTTTAAGTTATACCGACCCTGAAATGCTCACATCGACACGCGTATAATCATATAATAACATTCCATCTTGAATAACCTTTGTTAAAGCCAGAACTTGAAATTCCTCCAATTAAATAATTGGGTCAACTTTCTTTGCGGAATCCAAACCTACGTGGTCAGGTGCAGCATGTTCAGAACTAATGGTTTAATTTGCTCAGCTATGTATTTTTTACGACTTGTGAATATTGCTGAATTTGTGCGTAACATTAACGCACGGCAAAAGAAATTGAATAGGTTACATTATATATTATAAGTGAAAGTCAATCTTACTTGCATTCTGCTATAATTATTCAATTGATGACAAATAGTTAAGATTTCCTCTTTTTGTGTAGCGTTTTTGCATCCCAGTATATCAAACTACAAGCGTAAGGTTTTTACTCTGACTTACAGATGAAGTTTTGAATCACGTTATAAGTCAAAGTTTAGAAAGATCTGAAATCATAACTTCATATTTTAAATTATACATGTCTACTGAATTTAATTTTGCTTGACATTTTTTGCAGACGAACTCCTTGTATACATTATTAGTGCAATATATAAATTTCATTACCATTTCCTGCGCTTTTCAGTTTTGACATGGTCGCATTGAGACATTTATATATTATTTATGGGACTTTTATCCGTACATGTATAATTGAGAACTAATGTGTAATAATAATTGTTCCCCAGGGAATAGTCTTCGGATATTATTTTCTAACGTTTTAGGGATGGATGAAAGCACTTTCATTCAGACCGCCCGCATGAAAACTTGCTTAATTAATTGATCTTAAAAAGACCAAGCGCGTAGAATAACATTTGCTCTGCGATTTATACTTTTAAATTTTATTCAAAGTGTGTCTAATGGATACTAAATAGTAATTTAGATCAAATGCGTTGATTATTAATATTCGACATGACAATTTGTCGATACATGGCGGATACAACAATTGTGATAGTTATCCTTAATATTCACATTTGTTTTGGTGTTTTCATTGTCAAGCAAGACAATGTTATATTTTCGTATAATATCACAAATATCTCTGCCTGTCGAACAGATACAGATTCGTTTCAGGGTATGTTAGGAATAAAGTTACAAGATTGTGTAAAGGAATGTGGCTTAAGAAAACATTGTAAAGCTCTGAGCTACGGAAGAAAACTTAGGATTTGTAAGCTATTTTTGACCAAAAATGAAGAATACTTGTTCAATGGAGATTGTGTCTACGTTACCGATGATGATATAAAAGTCGAAAAGGTAGTATATGTACACATATATAAACAACATTGAGCATTATTATAAATATCTTTTTTATGTTTTTAAGTAAGGTAGATTTTATTTTTCTTTGAACCTTATAACTACACAAGATTCTACGATAAAACAGACATAGAACATGTTATTTCACTAACTGTACAAAAAACGGTATATATACATATGAAGTCATTTTTATGACATATGAATATGTTGGTTTTTCACTGTAAGATACTTACTTATACTAGATAAAATTAATGAAAATTTAGCGTACAAGTCTGATTAAAATACATTTCATTTAAGATGAGTAATTTTGAGATAATTATGTGCATTTATATATGTTAAAGATATTTCATATTTATATGCGGTGATATAGTATATAGAGGATATTGAATGAGTGTAGGTTTAATACTAAATTTGTTGAACGAGTTGAATAAAATCATATTGTGCGAGCCTCTGGCGAGCATAATATTCTTTAATTCAACGAGTTCAATAAATTTAGTATTGAATCTACACGAATATAATATTCTATTTATCACATATATAAAATAAGAACCGTAAATTGTTAAAAAGAGTCATTTTTCTTTGTCGCGCCTAAAGTGTAACGCTAACATTAGCGCGCTTTAACGCTATGTTTATAGCGCAAATGACGTGACGTCAAAGTGTTATTACACTAGTGTTATATTGTCTATTCTAACACGACCCGCATTTTTCCCTATTGAACATAGAAGAACCGAAAGTGTGTGTTATTTAAGAAATAATATATCCCAAACTGTGATTTTATTGCTCAATAACATCACTGTTTGGAGTTCGGATGCGAGGAATTATATCACGAGGGCGTAGCCCGAGTGATATAATGATGCGCATCCGAACGACAAACAGTGATGTTATCAAGCAATAAAATCATCGATTTGGATATATTATTTCGACTCTAACACGACATCAACAAATAAATGCTGCCGTACATGATAATTAGCTAAATTGCGTCTGATTTGTTTCCGTACTTATTGTCAGCGCGTCACATTTTTAGTGGTTACGTCACTTGTATAATGATTACGTCACATGTCTAAATATAGAACGTCAAACAGTGATTTTATAGCATAATAACACACACTTTCGGTTCTTCTATGTTCAATAGGGAAAAATGCGGGTCGTGTTAGAATATGCTATAAAATCACTGTTTGACGTTCTATATTTAGACATGTGACGTAATCATTATACACGTGACGTAACCACTAAAAATGTGACGCGCTGACAATAAGTACGGAAACAAATCAGGCGCAATTATGCTAAATATCAGGTACGGCAGCATTTATTTGTTGATGTCGTGTTAGAATCGAAATAATATATCCAAATCGGTGATTTTATTGCTTGATAACATCACTGTTTGTCGTTCGGATGCGCATCATTATATATATATATAATTATATTATATAATTCCCCGCATCCGAACTCCAAACAGTGATGTTATTGAGCAATAAAATCACAGTTTGGGATATATTATTTCTTAAGTGTAATATCGTTTTTATTAAATGGCTTTATTACACTCCTGTGCCGCGGTTTATGTGATAAAAGTGTTTAACTATTGCTTTCAAATGTCAACGGATTTTAACTTTATGTATATCGTTCTTAGTAAACGATTAAGTAAGCCTTTTAGTCGAGTGGGTTTTTTTTTATCTAAAACAATATTGTTCCAAAAATACATTATTTCATTTATTCTGACTTAACTTACACTATATGAGCTTAGTATAGGTGTTTGTCATTTGATATTACAGTCGCCATGTAAAGTCTGTACGGATGGACGTGTATGTGATTCAACAACTGGCGAGTGCACTGTCAAAGGTAGACCTTAAATGTACAATAATTCAGATTCTGCAAATGTATGTCTAGAAAAATATCGAGATGTTCAGCAGAAAAAAAGTTCAATCAATGTTTTATTACTATATCTATTATCAAAATAGTTAACCTTTTAGCAATTGTAGGTAATAATCAAGGAACGGCTAAGATACTGCCTTTGCAAAGCTTGTCATTTTAGACAATACTCTTTTGCGATTTAACTTGTTATTTCCACACATACCGGCTTAAATGACCTACTTTATAATTTAAACTTTTAGACTGGTTTGATTTTGGTAAAATGTTCATCCTAACGGCATTTTTTAGTACAAACAGGTAGTTGGGCTTACTTACCTATTTCGAGTACGCTGAATTCATTTTTTGCTCTACCACGGCTGTATTTTTAGTCCTTGACCTTTAAAAATCAATTTCAAAATGGCCGCCATTGAATTTTTTAATTTTACTTCAATTCTCTCATGGGCGAGATATATACATATTTTTTGGCATTTTAATTTAAGGTTTTGTTAATTTTAGTCTGCTGAAGTGTGGACGAGAAGAATAGATGCAAAAACAATAAAATTTATTGCGGCAGCCATCTTGGATTTCAAAATGGCTGACATTTTCTTATGTTTTATACACTGTTTTATAATTAGAGTAAACAAGCACAAGAAGGCATTTTACTAGGCATGTTTTCTTTTATTAGAAGTGGAATGATACTAATTTAGACTTGCAAGTGCAGACTTTGAAAAACTTCCATTAAAACTCCAAACTTTATGGTGAAAAAGGTGACAATTTATACCCTAATACAACGTAAATGAGTCATATTAGATGTTATTATTATACTTCTAAGAATACAATGCATGTTCTTAAAATTATTGCGATGTTTTTTAAATTGGATTTGTATCGCCCTGAGGGGGGGGGGACCTGCTCAAATGTCTGTCCGTCTGTCTATCTGTCCGAGCGTCCTCTTGTGTCAGTTAGGGGTATTTGCGATCACAATTTTGCGTTTAGATTAATTCCGTATACCCCGACCTATAGGATGAATCATTGGTTATGGGAGGCAAAATGCTGCTTTTGGAGTAAGAAACAAACATGAAGATAACAGACATCTTCACAAATCTCTCAGTAAGAGCTTGTCCCTGTCTGTCCGTTTTTTTATCCCGTCCATATCTGTCATTTTCGGATAAATTTTGAAATAAATTGCAATAATGTGTGGCACATGGATACAATGTCATAATAAGCTCAACTCCTCATGTTAGACTTGAAAGTGCATGAAAAAAGATGTGCATTTTAGTATTCTGTCATTAAGAGATGAATTTTGAAATAGAAATAGAAATAGCATAAATATACGGCCTATAACGGATTGGGAAATGATGTACTTTATATTATTACTTAATCTTCAAACAGGCATACCATGAATATTGTTTGGTTATTTCGTATGTCAATGTCAATTGCGCAGGAACATGTAGTGGGAAGAGTAGTGCTCGAGAGCCAATTCAACAATCTAAAGAGCAGGGTCATGTCTATCAAGAAAGACAATTTTGTAAAAGTTCATTAGTGGGGAACCCGGTCAACAATTTTTTATGCACGACCTGATATTTAAAAAAAAAGTCTCAGTATTTCCAAAAGTAATATAGGAATCGTCATCCAGGCTGGCATTCGAAAAATATTTTTCTCATGAAATAAACTACTATTCTGAATAATAGAGTTAATGTTTCTTCTTGTAAGAGAACTATTCCGTATGATGTTTATCCCATAGAAGCCCTTACATAGTATTTTATTGCTGATTTAGGTAACTCGACAAGAACATGGTGGTTGAGGCCCCTGTGTTAGGACTTTTGTCGTCTATTTGGTTATCATGTGGTATTAAATTATCCGTTTTGATTGACCTAGAGCAGGCGGTGTACGGGTAAAAATATTTAAATCTTGTTATAATTGTATATGCCGCCGTCCTGGAACGACAATAACTTTGCGTAAATGTGTATTTTGAAAAGGTCGTGTCATGCACAAGCAGGGTTATGTCTACAGTTGAACTTATAAATCATTATATAAACGTAACAAGATGGTTGTGTCCGATCTATAACTTTCTCATTAATTGATGCCTTTTGAAATAATTCTGCATAAATATATGGCACATTGGGACAATGAGTCACATGTTAAACCCAGCTGATGATGTAAATCAAAGATTAAAATCATACGCACTTACAAACTTGCTTGCATGATTTCAGTCGGCCATTTTAACTAGCCATGTAAGATAACTCCCCGTTTCCCTGTCTAAAATTCCACCAAATTATTCCCCTTTCAAATGAACTCAAAGAAGGGACATTTTAAAAAGACTTTGTATTTATTTATTCGATTTTTTGTTCAGAAACGGCAATTTTTTTCTTTACCTTTGTTTAATTTGCTTTCAATCTATATGTGGTTCCTATGGTAAACATATGAGTTTTGATGGTAAACAAATGAATTTTCTGAACCGAAAGTAATCTAACACACAGCGTTGCTGTCATCACAAGTAAACAATACATTAAATCGGTAAGAATATTGAGATATTTGTTTGACTATCAGTTTCAAATGGAAAATATTAAATATCGAAAACAGCTATGTGTAGTTTATGTGTATTGTTTTAATGTGTTTGTCTGATTATTTTAGTTGTAAAAGCCATGTACCTTACTTAGTCGGCTCCCCACCCAACCTTCTCCCATTAGCCCCATTATTTTATCTCATCCATTTCCATTTTTAGCAACGAGTTTTTAAAACGTGAGCGGCTGAACGAAATGGCAAAGCGGGCATGCTCCGCACTGACTTCCGCTCTATCGAAATCTCATATACGTATAGCGAAAGTTCGTAAGTGATACGTTCACTTCGAACAAAATATTTCCTTTAAAATGTCTAAAAAGTCGGTTAACGCTTTTGTCATTCATGAGAAACTTAAAAATCTTTGGGTTTAAAATTGCGCCTCTTTGTAAAGACGACAGTAGCGGGACAAATGTTCCAGTCACACTTGCATTTCAAAAGTCATGATATGGAGTACATTTGTCGGTCAGTCCAGTCCATATATGTGTATTCAGCAAGGCTAAGAATAAATACATGGGTATTTGAAACAATTTGTCCTTGGGGAAGGTAAATATTTTGAAGGTCATGTCCGGTCATGAATTATGTCATTCATTGGATGGATATTGGCGTAACTAGGCATACATTTGTGGCACATTAGGACTACTTGTAATGCTTAAACACTAGATTGATAGCTAGATAGGTCAATTTAGAACATTGATGATTTGTCTATATCTTGGTCATTTATTCATGGATGTTTTTTGAAATAATAAGAAATACTAAAGATATAAATAAATGCTTCTTTATGTTTCTAATTTTTGTAAAACTTTTAAGACTACAGTATACATGCCTTCAATGTAAAAAATGGAAAACAAGATTAAAAAAGGAAAGGTGGCGTTCAATGAACGCAACCCCGACACGACCCAGCAACAAATGTAATGGATCCTTAACTGAGCCGAGCTTCGGAGACATTTCAAGTGGCACGCCCTTGTTTCTCTTGTTTTACATAATTGTCAGGATAGTGCAAAAATAGTTGGTACACATTTTAGTGACTAAAATTACACTAAGAAATATCAAAGTAATTTTATGGAGTGATAGTTGAAAAAAATATGAGATAAAATTGTTCTCTTGTGGCAAATGACATCAAATATGTTATATCATAATGGAATAAGATACTCATCAATTTCTTGATAGCCAAGAACAAAATAAGTACGGAGATTTGAACATATCTTAATCACTTGAATGATTTTAAAACATGAGATAGAATAAGGCACAGCGTCCTTGGCAAAGTGGCATAATTATAATGTAGACGTTGATATTAACTAAGACAATGAATACATACCAATGAATAAAGACAAAACGCAAAAAAAATCTCGTATTTTCAGTTAAGTAAATAAAAATTTAAAGACATAGGCTTCGAGGGCATATATTTTACATGATTTACAATGTAGTAGCAAAAAACCAAAATGCTCTATCAAATCATTCTGTGTTAATAAAAAAGGGTAAACAGCAGTGACTCGTCAATATATTAATTGCAGAATTGGTATCAATTGACTGTCTAATCTTCTATGCATGTATCATCATCAAATACCCGCAGTAGACCTATAATGTTTTTACTTTATATTATTCATTAACCGTTAGACCGTGTAAGCTCGTAGACTGTTTATGGTTCATGTTTGCGAGACTTTTTTTCAAAGTGAAATACAATAAAGATTAAAACGACTTTACCATTTATTTGAGTTTATTTCAGTTAATAAATAGATGATCTGTTTTTAACCATGGCTAGGCATTTTTAAAGTTTGATTGATAAATACGAACCTTTATAAAGTAGCTATATCAATACAACAATAACAGATATCGTAAAAAACATCTGTGGATGTTTCTAAATTCCAAATTTGACAATTTCCCCCTTTGATATATGTATTTTGCGTGGGCCGGTGCTAGGGTGCTTTGACGGTACCTTGCAATTTCCAGTTACATCCATGTACAGGCTCAATCAAATCGAGCCTACAACGTTTTTCAATTTTGCCGTTTTGATCATATTTTAGGGATTCTGTTGTTGTTTTTGTTGTTGTTGTTTTCTATTTTAAATAGGGCCGTTTTTATGTAAGACATTTGGGATCTCAGACACCTGATATAGATTAATTGTCCAAAAAGATGACCTGTGATAGTTTTAAGTAATGTTGTAAATTAAAGTGTACAGTATACATACACAGAATGTACAATTCGACATGACATGTTGCTCATATCATTATACAATTTTTGATATTCATTCCTACAGAAGGATACATTTGTTTAAAAACACTTTACTTATATTTGTTAAAAAGGTGTCCATTTTGAAATCAAAGATGGCCGGCATAGCAGTCAATGTGTAAAGCATGTATAATTATCAGCCAATTATTCCTAAAAGTAATTGAAACTTTATTCCATGTAGATTCACGGACATACGATACGATATGTTCCAGAAATAAAATTTTTTAAGTAGATGGTAAAGGACAATGGCGGCCATTTTGATTTGACCTTTAGAAGGTCAAGGACTTCAAGTACAGCCGTGGTAGAGCAAAAAATGGATTCAGCGTACCCGAATTATGTAAAAACGATTTACTACCTGCTTGTACTAAAAATGCCGTTAGACTCTTAACGGAGGGTCTTTTCTGAAAATCAAACCCGTCTATTTGCTGGTCAATACGAAGCTACCTCAGACCTTTTTCGCTGCAAATATTGTTGAGTTCTTTTCTGAAATTTTAAAGAATGCATAAAACCAACAATAGAAAATGGTGAAGTTCTTGGAAATGTGATTGATATAGGCAGTAAAGTTCGTTACGTGTGTAAACGTGACTACCGAGCGGACATTAGGCATGCTATGTGCAACAATAATGGAACTTTAAGTGCAGTTCCAATTTGCAAAAGAGGTTTGAACTTTGATCTTTTAATAAAAAGACTCGTAAGTAGACTGTACAAAATGAGTAGCTTGCAAATAAAACAAAATGACAAAATATTCTGATCTCAAAATATTTCTTTAAAAGCAGCAATGTAATATTTCAACAGTACAGTGTGAACGAATATAAAGACAATTAATATTAACATTTAACACTGTTTTGTCTGTTTTTAAACATTTCGTTTTTATTATTTTATCAAATCTAAATACTTGAAAGATTACGTTCTATACTTGTGTTAAATAATTTAATCCCTAAATAATGATACAATCTATCTTTTTGCTGTAACTTTTTTTAATCAAAATATATATGTCACTTTCTATAAAGAAATAAGGAATTGCATGGAGGTTAAGAGCTGCAACTCCTCGTATACTGACGGCGAATACTGGCTCCAAGTCAATGTTTTTGGAGGACGCAAAGTCAAAATATACTGTCATGGAATGTCTACGTCAAGTCCTTTAGAATATGTTACAAGTAAACAATTTCCTTTACATGCTCACAATTGAATTCATTTATGTATTTTGAGGGTTTGAAATTGACAATTATTATTACAGTACACAAATAATAGTCAAAATAGAAAATGCTTGTGGTCATTTTGTAACATGTATGATGACTTGTTTTAAAAACTGGTACCATAGATCCCCCTTTGCCTAGCTGGTAATTAAAAACGTAAACCGTTAATATTATTTATAAAGAATCAAAGCACTTAGTATAGTACATATTTCTTTCTGCCGATTTAGGCATTGTTGCTTACCTCCTTTTTAAATTCAAAAGTTTTGCATGTTTTAACAACATTTAATGATAAGACCAGTATTTATTTCACACAAAAAAAAACAAGTATAATGTCGTAAATTCTTATAGATAATCATTACGGTGTGTGTTTTATTTATTTCAGTCGATGAAAACAACAACTTTGGTTACAATGCCGGAAATGATGGCGACATTGGAGCATTAACAAAATATAAGAAAATAAGGGTAATCATGAAGGTAAAGTTAGATAAACTTTATATCGATTCGAATGAAGAACGAATAAATCCATTTGTATATTGTTCAACATTTTGAAAATACGATATTGACTAGTCGATATCTCGTTTTCATCGGGAAAGATACGTCTTAGCTCTAAGAGAGAATTATCAATTATAAGTGATATCAAAATGAAAATGAAGCTTTTTAGACAACAGTATAGAGCCTGGTTAGACTGCACGGATGTTCATGTTGGTCTAGCTCTATACTGGTGGCAAAACTAATAACTTTTGGCTCAACCACGGTAAGGGTCAAACTTAATTTGTTTATGCGTACAAGGTCACTCCGGTAATGACTTTTCCGTTACGTAGCTTAACCTACAGTTATTATACGATTGCAGAATTAAAATAAGTCATTAAGAATGAAAAGAAAAAGATTATTTCATGTGTATTGATTCAGAGCATGCATTCTTAAATTAAGCATGTCAAACAAAGTCATACACCAACATGATTGACCTGAAATATGTAATTCTAACTTTAGTCGATGGTGATTGTAAGAAGCGACCCAACATTCACTGACCCGCCTATTTCCGGCCACTCCTATGCAATAGGTACGAGTTGTAACTGCGTTGACGGTTGTCCACCATGGAAAGGGTATTTTAAGATTTCTACTGTAGGGACTGGTTTAAAATTAAGCGATAAGGTAAATTAGTTTGTTTGTTGGGGGCTTTTTTTTTTAATGGAAAAATAATTCAAATACATTTGTATTTTATTATATTGTATTGCAATTAAAACCTACGAGACTACCCATGGTTTTCCTATATTTATATAGCACATTCGTTAATAATATTTATCCGACTTCTTATCCTATAGCAAAAAAATCCTTGCAGCATTTTTCTGAATATTGAAGAAACTATGATATTTGATGATATGCATGATTTATTCAATCAACATTTATAACTGTGTTTTCAATTATAAATTATCAGCAGCAACATAATCACAAGTAAGCAGTATCATCATCAGTTGTATAAGAAAAAGTATAATTATTATTATTATTATTATTATTATTATTATTATTATTATTATTATTATCATTATTATTATTATTATTATTATTATTATTATTATTATTATTATTATTATTATTATTATTATTATTATTATTATTATTATTATTGTTATTTGCTATTATTATAATTATTATTATTATTATAATTATTATTATTATTATTATTATTATTATTATTATTATTATTATTATTATTATTATTTAATGAATAAGGCTTCTTGGATAGCGGAGGGTTATAAGCCTGGTATAGCAAACTTCTCGAGGAACGCAGACAGCACCATTATTTCAGCAAATTGTGGCGGTCATTGTGGCTGGTGTAGACCAAATGGGTCATTATACTTATACTATAACGAAAAGGATGGTGAGTGAATATATATCTTATTGATCATTTGGTAAATGCTTATAAACAATATATCACAAAGTATGGTCATTTGGGATAATTGGTCCCAGCACATTAAGTGTTGAAAATTAAATACCGGTTCAGCCGGTGTAAGGGGCGTGAGGGATGTTGCACTTTTCCATTTACCTCATGAACAGACTCGGTCAAACCGACTCTCGATTTTCATGTAATTTTGTTGTTTTGATGCTTTCAAGGAATCAACTGATTTTTTTTTTGTATTCGTCCTGCTTTAATTATAATATTCCTTTACATTTGAAGAGAATTACACATGTATATCAAAATATAAAGATTGAGTCAAGATCAGTGTAGAGCATAGTTAGACTAAATTGATGTATATGCTGGCCTTGTTCTATACTGGTAAGATGCTATCGTCAGTTTTTTCTTTTACATTTCTTTTCAGTTGTTGATGATAGTAAAGCAACCTACCCGGAATGTTTGTAAATGGAATAACATGTTTGTATCAAAGGTCTTTGAAATAGAAAAACGGCCTTGTTGTAACTAACTATTTTGAGACTGCAAGCTTAAAAAGATCTGCAGGATGATCCATGACCAAGATTTTTGTAATATTACGATGAAAGATTTTATTACAATGAATTCTGTAGACAATATCAATCGGGCGTTTCTTTATTGTTTTCCTCGTGTCGTGCACTTTTCTTAAATTTGTAGAGATAAACATTACTACTTGATTACAAATTCTGATTTGATGAATTATTATGTGCAAGAAAAATCAGTAGAAAAAAAATCAAATTTTATGTTGTCACTTAATTTGTCAAGCACATTCTACGAAACTTTAATTTGTTTCAGTTAAATGCACCCTCTTCCAGTCAATGAGCTTGATAATTGTTTAATAAAAACAATGTTTCTATAGTAGCAATGATATCTAGCATCATTGTGAGGGAGTAATGCATCCATCCAAAGTTCTAAAGGATAAGTAAATTCCTTCAGTTCATTTTCGATGTAATAAAGTCTATAACAAAGACACCATAGTTTAAAAGCTATCTTCAAACCATACGCTGAAACAATTTATTTGTTAAAATCCTACTGTCTTTGTGCAAGACCTTAACGTGGTGAACGACCTTATAATTTTTACATAAAAATTATACATCATTTCAACGTTTTGAAGTAGTATTAAGTCGTTTTTGAAAGTGTGAAAAAAGGCATTCAGGTAGTTTCGAGATTCACCGGCTCAGACTAGTCAGATATGTTAAGACATAAGTCCAGAAGATACTTTCAACGCACGTCCCAACTACATTGCTTTCTTATGAAATATTTTAGTGTACTTGGCGAAATTCGAATACACGGCGCTTAGGGACAAGACTTTGATCACTTATCAGCCCTCAAACTCTGTTTTATCTCTGTTTCATATGATCAGAATAAATCAATTCAAAAGTTATCAAACCGGTGATACATGTGTTTGGAAGTGGGGCAGCTTAAACACTCGGTTGAGGCTCGTCACATGTCTTCCTACTTTTTATAAATAACTGTGATAAAAGCAAGAACAAGACGTGATCAAGACCCAGTCATATAACATCCATGTACTTTAAACGTTAAACGGTTGTCATTAAACAACATTGATTTGAGGACGAAGCGAGTGAACTGTTATAACTCTTGGGGCTATAAAACTTGTAAAAATTTGAATAGATACCCGGTTATACAAATAATTTATTTCATAGCATACATTTTGTAAATCTTTTGAATTATCAACCTGATTCGCATGCTAAATCTGTAAGCTGTTTCTTGATTGTTTTGAGCAGAGCGAAACTATTAACTGTCACTACACGGTGATTTGATGCGATATTAGCAAGTTCTGTGTTATCAACACCTGGTCCAATGCCAATGGATATAACCTCTGCTTTAGCATGCAGTAAATGGGCTTCTTTCTTTGTTTCGTCTTGGTTGTCAGACCGACCGTCAGTTATCACTATAACAAATTTCGACGAGTTTGTCCTCTCTCCATTTGCCGGAAGTAGACTCTGCGTGCGCACAAAATTCAACGCCCCGGATGTGTTTGTTCCTTGCCCAATATATTGGATATTACGGATTGCGTGAAGAACCTCGTTTCTGGAATTATATTTGTTAAAGAAGAAGTCGTTACGGACATCTGAAGAATAGGTGACTACGCTAAACTGGACATTGTTCGTACCGATGGAAAACTGGGCCGCAAAATTGTAAACAAACTCCACCTCAGTTTTGAAGTTGTCGGCACCTTCACTGTCCGATGAGTCTAGAACGAAGACGATGTCTGCCGGCTTCAGTCCACAAGCTAAAATCGTATGATTTACATATAGCATGATTAATCCGCCATTTTCATTCTGTACACCTTTTATAGATTTGTATGATTAAGATTATATAAAATGATTATTTGAAAATCAACGGAAAATTTTATAAGAATTATATCGAACTTTCTGTTCTTATTCTCGAAGATGTACAAAGAAGTTATTAAAGCATTCTTAAATTCTGTTAAAATCGTAGCAAACACTGAAAACTTATATCAACCTATAGACACTGAAATAGAAATAACTTACCTGCTTTGGTAGTTGTTGAGGGTAATGCTGTGGTTGTTGTTGTAGTTGTTGTAGAAGTTGTCGTCCGTAAAAGACTCTCTGCAAAAAAAGTTCAAGATTATATAAAGTCTAAAAGTATATTCTAAAATACCAATTGAAATATCTTAATCAAATGATTCTATTAAGACACCATCTAGTGCATGCAAAACTATACAGAGCGCCCGAGGAGAAAATTGACAACGACTTTTGGTTCTTTTGAAATCATTCAGGGAAAGAACCTGCTAAATGCATTAAGGGTTGATAAGGTTTTAACATGTTCTTGCCTCTGGGATTCATTAATAATGATAAAATGTCATTGGATGATCATACTGGCTATACATACAACTGGTTATGCAAAATAATTGCATTTTATCAGTACAATTCATAAATAGTCTCTATACTGTGTATCACTTTAAGCTATTGTGGTATGATTATGCTTATGGGATTAGGCCTGAAAGATAAGGTTTATATGCCTGAGCGTTACTTAAAGGAACAATAATATGCAGTTGCGCAAAGAATTCATTAATATCTCACTTGCACAAATTGAGTTAACTATATCCTGGTGAATGCTGGCGAGTTCGTCGAAATGTTTTACTTTAAATGTGTGGTCATGGTCGGAGGCTATAGTAGACATTTCATGAGTGTCGATGTTTGATCCAATAGCAACTGTGAATATCTCAATACCGGCTCTGAAAGTATTGAAAAATATGTATGAATATAACGTATATTATAAATGTAAATTTTGACTCAAGATATAAAAAAATGGAATCCTTAAGAATGCCGAAAACGGCAAAATTAAAATGTTACAAACCCTTATAAGGCTTAAACTAGTTTTCAGTTATGGTTTTAACATTAAACCTATGGATCTACGAATACAATAATTCACAACGAAATAAAACTGCTGCAAAAGAACCTTTTAGCCGCAAAGTTGTTATCAGAAATAAAACAAAAATATTCTGGAAGATGTGCTTGATGCCAAAGCTTACATACCAAAAAAATCAGTAAAAATAGGCGGACAACAAAAGTACTCAATAGTACTAATATATTTAGTACTAGTAACATTAATAACAATAATGCTGTATAAGTAATAGTACTTAACATTGATAATTATTTATATCAATAACTTTTTTAACAAGATACAAAGGTAATTCATAGATAATATCAAAACAATGTATAAGTAAAAACAATTTCATTGAGGTCTCTGTCCGCTTTGCTCAATAGGGAGAGCAACGGATTAGTAGCCAGGTGTCGCTGATTCGATCCTTTGGCAAGGTGAAATTTTCTTTCTCGGAATGTCTTCCGCTTGTGATTCAGAAATCATGTGAGATTAGCAATCGGTTTCTTGCCTAGAAATTGGTATTACCGGTAAGTAATCCAGGAAAGTCGATTAGATGGACGTACCGCCAAGATATGATCAAAAATGGGTTGAGATCGGCGTAAAAACAGACAAACCGATAAATTTATTAAGCACAAAACATGTGCAGTTCTAGTACTGTCAGGTCACTCTTAAAAACAAAAATATAAATACCTGTGTGCGGTGACGGCGCTATTTCTGGTCAGATCTGGCTCAGTGGACCTACCGTCTGTCAACACGATCATTACCTTATTGGCATCACGTCTTGCTGAACGGGTATGCGTCAGTTCCTGTTTGGCTGAATTTATACCAAGATCTGTTCTAGTTTCACCGTCTCTATAATCAAAATAAATTTACAATACTGATGTCTTATTAATCAAGACAAATAAATGTTTAAATATAGATTTAAAATCTATCATAACAACCTGCATTTCGGCGACACTTTGAAAAACAACAAACGTTTGAATGAACCTCAAAATTTAGTTTTAATGCTTTTTGACCTAAGTAGAGCTCCTTTAATATATATGTTCTTCTCATCAATGCAATATGATCAATATGCGTCAATAAAGCTTTGAGGAGAAAAGCATTGTTTTTTGTTTTTTTTTTCTTGTTTTTTTTTTCTTGTTTTTTTCTGTTTTTTTTTCTTTGGGGGGTTGTTGTTTTATTTGTTAAAGGTTTACATCACACCAACAAAGTATAGGTCATATGCCGACTTTCCAGCTTTACTGGTAGAAAAATGACCTTTCGTGCAAAATTTCAGTCACGAACGGGCACCTGAGTAGAACTATCCACGTTCCGTAAGATAACTGAATAACATTCTCATATAAAAGAATCCAAAGAAAGCATGGTAATCATTACATATGACGGAAGGTATGTACCTGTATGGAATTTTAAGGACATTTTGAATTATTTCTTCTGATGTGTGGTATCTTCCCATATGCATTTCTGTCGTACTCCCTGTAGAGAATGTTACAACACACACCTTAAAAGAATCAATTATAATAATCATAGGATATGAATTTAGAGACATAACTAAACTTTGCATGAAATTTATAATCATTCTTATCATAGAATAGAATTGCCTTTGTGAAAATATTACGACTGACTTTTATTTTGCTACTGAAACGTAGTTTTTGGGTTCTATAACTTCCACTATTAAAATCTATTCATGCATGTTTTATTTATAGATGCTGAAAATACTTTGGAGAAAGACGATTCTTTTTTTTTTCTCCATATTTTTTCTAACATGTACTGTATGATGTTGTTCATTGTTTTGTTGTTATTGATGTTATTGTTGAAGCTGGATTTTATGTTGTTATCGTTTTTATAGGAGTATATTCCCTGAGGGTTTTTTGTTGGTCAATGGACGCGTTTGTGTTTTATTTGTATTTTTGGGGCGTTGTTTTATTTTAGTTCAAAATATTTTATTACAACAAACCAGTACATTTAAACAATACAGTATAATTAAATGCCTAGAAGACAAAAAGAAAACACTGTAAAAATGAAAATAATTATTGAGCTTGTCATAATTCAACACCTCATTAACATCATTATTTTATTTATTATGCAATTTTAAGAATTGTCTGATCCTTTTGGGCAATATCTGAAAGTATGTTAGCGTTCCTATAACCGTTCTGTCTATCATATTAAATAACCATCCAGGCAATGCCGACTCAACCGCAATAACAGAAATATTAAATTATTCATTACCTGCGTATGTGATGTTCCATCAAATGAGAATTCGTTCACAATCATATTTACAAACTCTAACTGACGATGAAAATTTATGGCGCCTTCACTCCCTGATGAGTCCAATACAAAGCAAATGTCTGACATATCATTGCAGGCTAAAATTAAAACAAATGGTCTTATTTATATGAATGGTGATATTTTCAATGGTAATCTATATCTAAACAAATACGAGAAACAGTGAAACCTTGACAGCAGAAACAATTCATTCAACAAAAAAAGATAATTAAATATTGTATAATACCATTGCATGTTTCCGTCGTAAGATCGTGTTCTATAGTATTAAGTGCCTCGAATGATGCCACTCTAAACGTATGGTTGCCATCGCTTGCTATGTTAGACAGCTCTCTCTGGTCAACATGACTACCTATACCAATAGCTATTATTGTTACCTTCGGATCTCGCTGAAATCAAATAGTCAAATTGTCATCATATAATTGCCAGGTTTGACATCAGATATCAATTGTGAGATTATTGGTATAGTAATAACAACAATATAGTATAAGTTAACCTTAAAGTATATGTTCATTTCTTGTCTTTGTTGATGTAAATGCAGAAGTTGCTTGGCGCATTACTTTTCGCAAAAAGAGCTTGCTTTGATCTAAGTCAAATAAACTTTGGTTTAAAGAGTAGAAAGCTATATCTCTGCTGCATGAAACTTCAACATTGTTGTTGGTGGTTTTTTACTCATTTTTTCTCAAACTATTTTTTTTTCAATAATTAAAAAATGCCTATATGAAAAAATTGTGTTGGTATATTTCCTCACGAGCAAATGATACGTGCTGAAATGGTACGTGTTTTAAAATCAATGCTAAATTGTTAATATCCTTCTTAAAACAGCAGCTTACTACTTTTACAGCTTACTTACATTTTATTCTATTTACGTACTATATTCATGTGTAACATTCTATGTTACAATCCTTTTGATCGAAGAATGATATTGGTCAGTTATAAAGAATATGTCATTTAGAGTACAGATATCAATTTTGGTACATTACGTAATAAAAATTCAGAGCTCGCTTTTACACAGGTTTGCAAGAATTTTCACGATTTGACTGTGGCAAAAGGATTTTACCCTGTTTTGCTATTTTAGGTACAATTAACATGTTTAAAAGAAACATTAATGTACATGTATATGCATATCAAACTATGTGGTAAATCATACCTTGAGCAGAGCAGCTTCAGCCTTTGTTTTCTCCGGCTCGAGAGATTCTCCGTCAGTTAATACAATAATTATTCTACTGGCATTCCTGTCACCTTGGTGTGCCCTTGATAAGGTTTGGGTTCGAACAAACTGGAGTGCTGAAGAAACACAGTGATTTAAAATATATACGCTTACAGTATGAAGAAAACCTTAAGATTACTATTAAAATAATTCATTAAAGATATCGAATAAGGCTAAAATGAAAAGCTTGTAGGGTGGTTTTGTTGACAGAAATACGCTTAAAAGAAGCCACACTTTAGAATAATATGCATTGAACAAACATTGCAACTGAATCAACATACAAGATACTTCATAATAAGCAAACCCTTACTGACACCAAAGTTGTGCAATCAGGTCGACATTATCATAATAACGCACTATAGGTCAGTGACACTTGTTCTCCTTATCTAGTCCCACATAGTTACACTAGTTATTGTCCTTATAACATTGCCGTACGATTTAGTATTTGACTTCATCCTTATCTACTATCTATCAAATTATGCGAAAAACCTTCACATTTCATGATCATCCTTTGCCTTCATGATAACCTCCGATACAAAATTTCTATAAAGTGCACTTTCCCATTCCAAAAACGGTTCCACGGTGACTATCATAGTTTTCATGAAAATGATAAGCCTTTTCTAAATAATGTTTTTCAGCTGCAACATAATATATATGTATTCATATGCCGATTGGGTCTGAATGCACAAAATTGATGCATAAGTGTGACACAGCATAAAAAGGTGTTGCGTTCAAAGAAAGACTTTGTGCGTTCGTGTTCTTTTATTCTCGTCACCAGAAAAAATATTTTAAGGTGAACAGCCAAAGACAGACAACGGTTACGTTATATTATACATGTATATACATTGCGTAATGATTGGCTGATAAATTGATTAATTGGTCATTTAATTGATTAAGTGACAAACGTTTACCTAGATGAGTGTTAGTTTCACCATCTGGATACTTGGCATTGTTGATATGATTAAGGACGCTAGCATTGTCTGTATACTGGTTCAGGAAGAATTCATTATGTACAGTAGTCCCGAAAGATGTAAGAGCCACACGTGTGTTGTTAGACCCTATCTCAAACTGTTTTGTGAAGTTTGAGACAAACTGGAGCTGACGTTTGAAGTTTGCCGCTCCCTCGCTCCCTGAACCATCAAGTAGGAATATTAGATCTGCTGGCTTATATGGACAGGCTGAAAGGCAATGTATAACTTTAAGCAATTGATAATACATCTTTTTATTTGCAAACAATATCTTGCTGCGAACGGAGAAATGCCTAGGAAATCAATTTTTTGTGGAACAAGACGTTATCTAACGACCATGCTAAACATGAATAAAATATTCATTTTTGAGTGATGTAATACTTTTAAAATGATGTAATACTTTTAAAATGCACGCAATGTACGTGTATTACAACCTGCTTCTGATTTATGTATATTACAAAGTACACTTGCATTTATGAGTGGTAACTAATTTGCTTCTGACAAAGAAAGGGAATTATTATGTCAAAGTACATATTCAAGTTGTGTTAGCAAAATGAATATAAATTGGACATAAATGGTTATTAACTCATACAGATTTCTATTTCATTTGCGCTGTAATATATTTACTAAGACAGTTGGTAATGACTGTCTTTGCATGACTAAATGTACGGACCTTATTATCTATGTTACCATTTAAGTTCATCACTTGAACACAAATATCCTATTAAAAGCAATGAGTTTTTTTCTTCTTTGTAAGCTATGCAAAACAAAAAATTAGAGATAACAAAACGTCATTCATTGCAACCATAAAACTAAGTCTCATAAAACTTACCCTTGTCCACTGGCCCGGCAGCAATAGAAAATCCGAAACAACAACCCAAATTTTTTTTCCCCTTTGACATTTTTGACCAAATTAAAAAGCTTGATTAATCAGTTTAACCGAATTTTTAATTTTTGTATTTCTTGTTGTATTGTCGCACTTTGCCCGTATATCGTTAAAAATTTAAGCCCAGTGAAAAGGAAGAGCCACACGGGTTTATTGTTCCTTTTTTAAAGTTTTTAATTTAACATCAGCTTATTTAATTTTTTTACATGTCATTTGCCTGTGGTTATTCGTGAAAGGAAATTTTTCTTAAAGAATTATAAAATTTTTAAAAAAAAAAATGTTTCAAACAGTCTTTTAAAAGTAATGGTAATGTAAATAAAACGGATATTATTTTTAAATTTTTTTCCACAAATTGTTAAGCTTCAAAATAATTTTTAATGGGGAAATTTAAAAGGTTATTCCCCTTTTGATATTATCGAATTCTTTGGCTTTTCTTTGACTTATTATGAAATACTATTCAAGGGAAAAATAAAAAAAAAATTCTAGGGATAACCCAATAAATTTCTTTTTCTTTGCCCGAATTTATTAGAAAGCTGGTGGTCCGATTTACGGCCAAATGTTAATTTTTCACATTGAAAAAATATATTTAAAAATATTTTTTTTTTTAATTCAAAAAAAAATAATCAAACTTATATCAACTAAAATGGTTTAAAATTTTGTCCAGGGGAAAACAAAAAACCAAACATAAAGGCTTTACAAAAAAATGTTTTTGTTGTTTTTGTGGTTTTTTTTAATCGGCCATTGTTAAAAACGGAGGTTTGACTGTAAAGTTTGCCTTGGAATGGTAAAAATCCTTAACCCATGTTTACCAAAGATTTAACGGGCCATTTTTTAAATTTTTTCAAACACATTTGGATATTTTTTAAGCCTTTTAATCAAAGTGGTTTGTGCCCGTTTGCCGAAAAATGCAATTATTTATTTTCCCCGTAAATGGCCGCAATTCTTAATTTATAAAAAAAAAAGGCCTTAAATGTTGGGGAAAAAATTCATAAAAGGATGTAAACGGAAAAAAAAGTTGGTAATAAAAATTATCAATGTATTGAAAGTTTTTGGCGTTTTTTTTTTATGGTTTTTTTTTTTTTTTTTTTTTTTTAATTAAACGGAGTATTATGGAATTTTACTCCCCATTGATGTCAAAAAGGGGGGAAACGTTATTCGAATAATCAAACATTAAAAGCGGTAGAGAACAAATAGTAATAGGTAGCGTTTTAGAAACGTTTTAAAAACACTTTTTACTAACCTTTCCCAACAATTAAATCAGGGGAAACATGTTTTTAAGAAAAAGTTATAAATTTATTAGAAAAATTATTTTAGGGTAATTTTCAGTGAAAAATGGATCCGTTTAACCTTAAGAAGGTAAAAGTAGTACATTGACACAAGTGTTAATGACAGGTTCTCAGGTACATAATGTGCACGTAAGCTTTGGAATAAGATTTTACCTCCATAAGCGCGCACTCGATATACAATGTATCACATTTTAAAGGTTTTCACGGTCCTTTGTGTCTCTACAAATCATTAAATTGGTGCCAACGAGTAGATATTAGAATGCACTTGTAACTACGATTTGAGAAGGGAAGAATTGCGTCCAAACCCGAATGTCTTTGAAGATATACGCGACTTTACTCGTACAAGTAATAACTTATCTCACATGTACATGCAATTTACATTGAAAGAAACGGACCCAAGATATACTTTCAAAGTTAGTTTAATTCTTAAAATGTTTATTTATCTATTTATTTTGTTGTTGTTGTTTTTTTGTTTGTTTTTTTTTTGTTGTTTTTTTGGGAGGGTCTTTTTTCTTTCTTTTTTCTTCTTTTTTTAAGTGTTATATAACATAGACTTGCACCTGTATAAGAGTTTTGTGAATCTTGGCTTGTAAATAATAAATTGTCATTACATGAAGGAAAGATTTATTGTCTTATTTTTGGTTCAAACGAAAGCTATAACAATATAAATAGTTTCAAATTGTTTGTTTTATTTAAATGGAAATATTATTGAATCCACACACTCTTTTGAATAATTTATCTAGGTCTAAATATTTGATAACTGTTTGTCCGGTGATACTTTTGTAAATGATATTCTTTAAAAAAAAATCAGACTCGGGACAAGCATAAATAATTTACACTCAGAGGCACTTATAACTCGACATTTATATTTTCATTTTATAGTTGCCTATTTGTTTCGTTAATTTTTCTATTTTCTGGTCAAAGAATTGTAAATAAAATTCTACATAGTAAGTAACTATGATATATTTAATAATGTATGGTCAAAATTTGAACAAAATTATACTAAAAAAATGTAAGTGTCTGGTTATAAGTGCCTCTGAGCGTAGCTAGATTATCTATGCTAGTCATTATATACCCGTGTCTGAACAAAAATTTAAAGAACGAACTTAGAATTTGTCGAAATAAAATTGTAATATTTAAACATGACATTGGGCCCAGAGATACTGTCAATAATGTTTTCTTAGTCTAGACATTAAAAACTAAGAAAGATTGGACATTTCAAATTTTAAAGCTCTGTAAAAATCCACTCACCAGTAATAGCCAAGAAGTCGTAGTTCATTGCACTAGTTTGACTATATATCAATCTTCGTGTCTTTCTCTCCTTTTTTGACTCATGTAAGGAGAATGATAGAAAATTAATACATAATTATATAGTCTGAGGAAAAAATAATACCTGATTGGATAAAAACACAGCGTCGCACTAATCTCCGGTAGCCCGTCCAGGTATTTTTTGTCCTAGATATAATAAATATTTTAGTATACTTTATGACAACGTCCAATATGCAAAATCTTAATAGTTGCTTTTATTGTATTTATGTTTGTTTGATTACACTGTATGTTCTGGTAAGTATATGTCCAAGGACCCGATTGTAAATAAGCCTCTGGGCTGTCACGGGCAGTCCGAGGTTATTGTAGACTACTCTTTACATACATTTGTTTACATAATAACATGCTCCATACGCATCTAATATATTTCTAGTCAAACGCAAAATTGATAAGATATACTTTAAGCCTTCTTTAATTTGTAAATTTTATGTTTCCTAAATGAACATCTTGTGATACATATATGCTTGTAACAAACTACCAATCAAAGTGTTTTATACAAATTTATTTACTTTAAATATAAAAATGTGAAACTGTATTTCTTGTTTATATGTTTATTTGTGTTTCAATCTGAATAAAAACAATCAACCAGTCAATATGTAAGTTAGTACGTTCGTTCGGAATCACGTACGGCTAAAAACTTGAGCCGTTCTACTGGTCACATCAAAAACGGAAACATTACGGCTATCATGGAATTTAATCGTGTTGAGCGTTTCTCACGTTTATGAAAAGAAATAGTCACACCGATTGTCGCCGGAAATGAGATAAAATTATCAAAAAATGAATTGGTTATATTTTAATGTTTTACCTGTTTTTCTTCTTTTAATCTGTAATGTTTTTACAGAAGTAATTGAATTAGACACAGGCGATGTATTTAAAATTGAAGGCAGGGTTGAAGTTGTCTCTACAACGGAGAAAGACTGGATGGCAAATACCCAGGTTGTGGTCGATGGAGGCGAATTTATCGCACATTTGAAGTGAGTAAACAATAGTGAATGATGGTTGATCATAAAAACGTGTAAACAAAAAAATTAACGAGCTAAAAAAATTTAAACTCCGTCACAGAAATGATGGGTTGGTTATTTTTAAGTTAGACTTTACCATTCCATTTCAGCATTTTAACTTTAATTTTTGGTCATGACGTCATATGTCAAAATTATTATACTGCCATGTCCATCAAAAACATGGAATTCATCATATTTATAGAAAAAAAAAGTAAGATTGAGAGACAGAGTGGACTGTACAACAGGGGGATGGTGGATCAGGACAGGGATTTTTGGATGAGACGGATCTTGCATTAATGTCAATTCAGTATTTCTTTTTATCACTTAAACCGCGTTGCAGGAGTGTAATAAAGCCATTTAATAAAAATGATAATATGAAAAAGGCAAAGCCTCAAAGCGAGCTCGATGTACTTTTTACGTGAAATAGTATGAAATAATCTCAAATGCAGTGACGAGTGCGTGTGACGTCACACGTACTGTGTTAAATATGGCCCCGTCCCTGTCGTGAAATAAATAACGAGTTTTGAAAACGTTGATAAAACTTTGTTTATTTTATTTCAATCTATAATTTTTCAAGCGAAATAAAGATTATTTAAAGCGAAATAAATGTAAAACTTAAAACGTTTGCGACATTAAAATAGCGTACTTGATTTGTTTGTTTTGCACGTGCTGTTTGGCGCTACATTGTGACGTCACATAAACAATACTTTAAACGTCTGTACAGCGTTAACGACTGAATAAAAGCAGGGCTCACGCTGTCGGTCGCCATTGTCGCCATTTGCGATTATATTATAAGATTGGCGATTATTTTTGCATTTTGGCTACAAAATCTGGCGATTATTTTTTACTTCCAAAGGTGTTTATATAAGGTGTAAAAATCGATAATGAATGCAGTTGACCCAATTAACACCTGCGGGGTGCATTTAATTGAGTGTCAACTTTTTAACGGTCACGTGCTGCTAACTATATTGCCCGAGGTGATAAAATACATGCGAGATGTATAATTGTATAAGTACTTTAAAGATATTGTCCAGCATTTATAATAGCCATCAAATATCCGTCAATTAGCCACAAAAATCGTTTTAAAATTGATAAACTGGATATTGACTTACCCAAAATTTACCGTGAATTCCAGTAATTGCAAATTTTGATTTTTTTTGTTTTAAGCTACTTTACTAAATCGCCAGTGGAAAACAATGGTAAAATATTTAAAAAGTATTAAATTCCAAACAACTATTTGCACAACAACCAAAATTGTGAATATTTCTTGAGAAAACAGGAAAAATCCGATTGTCACATATTTTCGCGACACCGATAATTTTGATATTTATTTAAAGGTGAAATAAGCTATGTTCTGTTTAAAAATCTTTACTACAATTGCAGTAAATTTGTATTACATTGGTGATGATGATATTTTTCAGTAAATTATTCAGAAAAAAAGGCTGCATTCTGTGAATGAGTTTACAAACTTGTGTTATTCTATAGGCTCTAGTCTCCAGTTCTGTGTGAAATGTGGAATGACAGTGGTTATAGCTGACAAAATTTGATTAGAACAAACAAAAAAAGTTGTCTGATAACAGCATTATGTAAAGTTTTAATGAATCTTTAATATTATTGTTATACAGTAATATCGTTTTTATTCTGTTCTATAATATCAATTAAAGCTGTGGTTCTATTAAAAAAAGGTAGTTATCAATATACACAAATGTATCAGTTTATTTGAGAATCCTTATAAAACTGAAAGATATAAATGTAATGTTTATTTAATCAACTGCTTATGTTGTTAATCGCTAATTCGTGAATAGTCTGCTGAACTTTTGGCTATTAATTTTTTAAGTTGAAATTATTGGCTATTATTTTATTTGAGCCAGTGTGAGCCCTGAAAAGATATTGGTGTTCGGATTTATTTTCTTAGTTAGACCATTTTCTTTCATTCTAGATAGTTTTCACAACAAAATTTGACAAAAAAATGTTTTTATTTATCAGATTTCAAACAAAATGGCGCCTTCGATTTTCATTTTTTATACACAGCTTCCGTTATTCTGGTTGCCTGTCCAATTATGGTTCCCATAGACGTGCGCTGGTGACCAGTCTACACATCCGTTTTCAGTCAGAATTCCTCAGTTTTTACCGTTATCTTTAAATTCGAAAGGTTGCGATGTGTCCAATTTGGTACTTTGGACGAAAGTTTTCAAAACCATCACTTAGCAGGTACTCGCGTTACCGTAAAGCTCGCTTTGCGAGCAGGCCCTTCGGGCAAGCTCGTCGAGCTCGCTATTACACTAGATGATACTACACTAGTGTAATAACACTTTGACGTGATGTCTTTTGCACTATAAACAGTGTTAAAGCCCGCTAACAGTCTTTCTGAAAGACCGTCGGACCGTCGGCCCTGACCGGTAAAAAATCAGAAGGTCCGATAAAAATATATGTATTGACGGCCCGACGGTCCGGTAAAAATTAAGGATTTATAAAAACCTTACAGTCAACATTTTGCAAAGGCCGATCATTAACCTTCATTCAAAACATATCAAAATGTTGTCATTACACAATATAAGCTCGTGCAATGCTTGTCAACTGTTATGCATTCTCATAATGCAAACTTTAATGTAACAACGTAAGATAAAAATATCCGACAACTAGTACAATTAAAAGTCAATAAGCGGCCGTGTAAATTACATAAGCGGCCCAGATGTGATGTGAAAGGTCACCCGCTATTAGTTTGTTTACACAGATGAAAGTGTCAGTGTATTAATTGGAACAATTTACATCTTTAATCCACAGACTTAGAGTAATGCTTAATTACACGTGTGCTCAACTGGTGTTTAGCTATGAAAGATCGTCCAAGATGTAATAAACAATACTGTGAAGGTACCAAAATCATTGAGCAATTAATCTGTCAACTTCACTAAATTACCGATATATATAATTCTGTTTACATATGCCAGACTTTTGCTGAAATTTACCCTCTCATTTTGCTAGTATATAGTCTGTATGAAATTAAAGTTTAAATAGCAAAATCCATTGAATGTGGGTATCACAATATTTATGTTTACATTTTGATTGTGGTGAAAAAAGATAACTTCACTTCGTTGATAATACAATTTTCTTTTTGTAAACAAATTTTTTGACTGCTGACACTTATCAAATGACTCAAAATGCTATACCAATCAGGGTTTTTTCGGTCCAGTAAAATCATGTTTGTTCCAGTAAAAATTTTCAGTTTACAGGACCTACTGTCCAGTAAAACTCAGAAGTCTTTCGCATAGACTGCGCTAATGTTAGCATCATTGAAAAATTACTCAACAGTTAAACAGTTTAACGTTCTTATTTTATATATATAATGTGATAAATAGAATATTATATTCGTGTAGATTCAATACTAAATTTATTTTTTGAACTCGATGAATAAAACAATATTTTGCTCGCCAGAGGCTCGCATAATATGATTTTATTCAACTCATTCAATAAATTTAGTATTAAACCTACACTCATTCAATATCCGCTCTATCACATCTACTGAATGACTTAAGGAAGTGGCTAGCCTTAATGGCCCCAAATTTAGCCATTTTTAAACCCTAAATTTGTGGCATTTTAGATTTTAGAATATAATACACCAATTAAAAGCTTGTGATCTTAGCTTCGTCTCAGTATATATTTCAGCACATTGTTTGACACTAAAGATATTTAAATTTACAGTTAAACCTACCGCAAGTCAGACTATTTTGCATACTATTTATACAGTGAGATACACAACTGGTTATCTTTACTTGCAATTCTACTGATAAGAATAGCCTGTAGTCTGCTAGTTCAGAAGCTGTCAAATGGTGTAAAGGACAGGGAACCAGGTTATAGTTAGGGTAATATGAAATTTGGGAAAGCATATGAACGGGAAAGTCGGTTAAAATAACAAATTATAAAAATACTATTCATTTGTAAATCTCATTTCGTTCAAATGTGTGATGAACAGAATATTGTAAGTAATTGATGAATAAAAGATTATGCATCTTAATAAATTTACCAGTACTGTAATGTAAATATAGGCTGATTTGACCATTGCCAAGTTTAAAAACTAAGGACTTGGCTGACTTGGGGCCAAGTAAGTTCAAGGACCAAGCTGATCTACATGTAGGACAGGACCTCCTTAGACAAAGTAATTTTCTTTCCCTATAATGATTGACCACTCTGTAACACAATTATCTTGTTAATCACCAGCTTTTTTCTTCTCTACTTTGGGAATGGTGCCGGTACCAGACTGATTGGGAAAAAATGCGTTATTTTTACTAAAATTGGGAATTTTTTTAATGCATTTTTTCAGCTACAAATGAGATTAGACATCATGAATAAAGATAGCTAACAGCTTCTACTGTCCAGATATAACTATTGAGTGGTGATTTATATGAATATGTTGGATTTAAATGATTTAAGAAAAATCACTTGGCCTTGTGGGCATTTTGAACAGCCATTTTGGGAATTTAACATTGGAAATTGGGTATTTTAATGTCTATTTTCTATTGGGAATGGTACCGTTTTAGGGTAGTAGTTATATATAGAAAAAAAACACTGATCACAAATATGTTAAGTCTTCACATTATGGTATATTGCCCGTTCAACCACTTTATTTTCATGAAATTGAAAGTTTTTGTTTGTGTTTTCTTTTCTAGGGGTGATGGCAGTTTTGTTATAAATGGTGTCCCATCAGGCACGTATGTGATAGAAGTATTAAACCCTACATATCTGTTTGAATCGGTCCGAGTTGATATTACTTCTAAAGGAAAGATGAGGGCAAGACGAGTCAATTATTTACAGCCATCTGTAGTGAAAACCCTGCATTATCCATTAGAATTCCGAGATAGAAGGAAGGCAAATTATTTCCAGAAAAGAGAGCAATGGAAGATTACAGACTTTCTTATGAATCCAATGGTATTATTATTATAATTATTTAATTTTCTTGTTAATAGAGTTTTAATTTTGTTGTTAAATTCATACCTTCCTGTTCTGTCAAGAAATCTATGTATTGTTTTTTGTTTCTTTCGTTTATGTAAAAACTGAAATTTTAAAAGTACGAGTTTTTACTACTGGGTTAATATAGTGACTTTATACAAATGTATAATAGTATTCAGTATGCCCAATTTACACTAGTACACAGTTGTGACTCATTATTCTATTTACTAGTGTGAATTAATAAGAAGGTGCAGCCATGCCATGGCAAAGAGGTTATGATTTTTGACTAGTGTTAGTTGCCTCTCAAAGCTTTGGGTTCGAATCCCATACAGTATTTTGCTTTTCTCATGAACTAATCAGCTTGCTAGTTATTTTCAAGTGCCTGCTCTAACCTGAAATAATTTGCCAATTGGCACAATTAGTGTGTGTGTGACTTAAAACATAATGATAGAAACAATTATTATTATCAATTTGTCATCATCAAATGCTAGTTTTTAGAAAATCTTACTTTATGTTTCAGGTATTAACAATGGTATTGCCTTTAGTGTTGATAATGATTTTACCAAAGATGATGAATGCTGCAGATCCTGAAGCACAGAAGGTATGATCAGCCCAGTACTAAATGTTTATGTTGACATGATTTTGTTTATTCCTTATTTGTTGGCGTTTTTTTTGTTGTTTTTTTCATCAACATAACATAATTTTTGAATTCTTACTTACTTTAAAACAGAAACAAATGAATTCTTACATATTTGGAAAGGGCAAATATGAATTTTATGGCAATTAAATAATTAAGAGCGTGTTGAATACTTTTTACCTGTATTTGAAATTGGCAATCACTTTTTGTCACATTCCCCTTGAGCTTTCCCTCAGTAGAGTACCTCTTAACTTTCAGCATTAAATTATTAAGTTTTTTGACGTTGCGCCAATTTATATGCTTCCACAAGACATTCTTACGTCATTCCCATTTTCCAGTATATAGTGTTTGTACTGAGGTAGACTATAAAATTAAAACATGTTTAAATGTTGATATTTTTAAAACATTAAATTCCACTGGAGTTTGTTATTGCCTTCATTATTCAACATTGTTATGCTATGTTGATGTAATTTTGTAAAAAATCAGAAAATCAAACAAATTTGGGTTAACAAAGATTTCAACCACAGTAAGCCAAGTGAAAAATAATATCTCTCTTATTTCAGGAGATGCAGTCCCAGATGAAAGCTTTAAATGATAAGTCCAGTTTACCAGACATGTCTGAAATGTTGGCGGGCTGGCTGGGTGGAGGCAGCACAAAATCCAGTTCTAAACAGAAAGCGAGAAGATAGCGGTGCAATATTTTTATGTGTTGTTTTATTTTGTGACAGTCCTTTCTGTAATTAATGTAAGTTTTTTATTACCAAATGTTTGAGAGGCATGCATGAGAAAAATGTGGTACATAGTTTTACTGTTCATTATACAGAAGAAAAAAATTGAGGGAGCAGTTTGTTTTTTACAAGTCAGTAATTCTGTATTGAGTACAAATTACACATTTTGGATAAATGCTGATATAGCACTGTTAGGAATTACTTGTTGCAATTTCTTGTTTCATATTTGATGGTACATGTACATTCTTTAGATAAATTTCCTAAGTAGATATTGTAAAGAAATTTTGTAAATTTTCATCTTTTTAAATTTGGAACATAGAATTTTTGTTGTAAAATGTATAAATAAAATTGAAAACAGTTTTTAACATTTAATGAACTGATTTGCTCAGTACATTTTTTGACGTCATATTTGAGAGAAATTGTTGTGCTCAATTTGGATGATTTTAAAGAATTGAGAATGTTTTGTAAAGTAAGATATTTTCTTTTGCTCTGTGAAAGTTTTATTAAATGACACAGTCTGTTGGTCATTGTATATAATAGATTTGTTTGACTGCATCTGACAATTTTAAAAATTATTCAAGCATAATGAGCATTATATTGAAATAAGAAATTTTCCATTGGAGTAAATCTAGGTTGAAGGAAACTGTAAAAGAGTTGTACATATGTAATATTTTATATTTGTATGAATTGTAAGTGAAGGAATATTAAAATTGTTTGTTCAACAAAAATGAAGAAATTTTCTATGCTCAAACTCAGTTCTCGGGTGTTTCATTGTTCAGAAACCAATGGGAATCCTGAGATGCGAGACAAATGTCAGAAGTGTTTTATAACCCGTCCCAGTGTTCACTAAGAAAAGATCAGGACCCCCTGAAATGATCCTGATAATATTTTCATTGTTTTATACAACTAAAATTGATTGTATTTTCCAGAATTAAATGGTACAATTGCGGATTTGCAAAGAAACAAACCGTTTATGGGATACAATTGACAAATAACAAAACAAATACAAAAATAATTGGATCATAATTAGGTTTAATTTTAGGATCAAGACCAATATTTGGATCAACTGTAAAATGCCCATATCTTCTAACAAAAAAAAAACAACAATAGATTTCTTCTAAAATTTCATATTCCATTTTAATTAAGTTAATATAAAATATTTAATATATGAGACAATGGAGAATATTTGGGTTTTTGGATTTGATCCTGATCTTTAAATTTTTGTGAATAAGGAGCCTGGAGATCTGTATGTTAATTTTCATGTCTTATGTTGTGTGAACACATTGTTATACTTTTGCTACACTTAATATTTTTAGAATTTAATGGACTTATTCTTTTATCTTTCAACCTGGACAAAAGCATTCCTAATTTTTAGCAAAAAATTCAGAATATGTGCTGACTATGATCAGACACAATGCATGTGCCAACTGATCACACACCTCAAGCTTTTTTCATCTGCAGTTATGCTAGTAATAAATATATTAGTTTTCAAGCCTATTGTTAAGGTGACCTTAAGTATTATTTTAGCTCTAAATGTAAAAAAATCTTTGAAAGCTTCATGTGGTGATTGTTGCTAAAAGTAAATCCAGTCTGTGTGTTTTCTGTATTAAATAAAACTAGAATTATTTGCTGCAGATGTGCTTAGAATTTTTGTTTAATGTAAATGATGTGATTAAAATATTGATATCCTACTGATAACATGCATAATTAGATTTTCTCTTATAAAAAGTGGTATGATTACAGACACATACACTTAATCATGGATTTGTATATTTTAACAAAAAATGCGTAATAAAGCTTTTATTTATTTTATACCCAAGTGACTGCATCCAATGTATTGCCTCAGAGACTTTAATTTAGAGGATCAGAAACTCCTAGTTAACCATATATAAACGCTTAAATGTATTGTCGCCCAGCAGATAAAGGTACATTGATGGCGCTAAGTGTAAAATGCCTTTTCAAAAACAGATACCTTACTACTTTACAAAAAGCCTTGAAGCTTTACCATTTATTATCTGATTTTGGAAATTTTAAGTTTATTTTGAAGTAAAATACTTGTTAAATACAAGTCTCTATTTTATTTTTTAAAAACACAGCCCGTCAGTCAGCAAAGACGATTGAAAAATTTAACAAGACAAAATCCATGTTAAATTTTCAGTTTTTTTATCATCAAAAACTTATAACTAAAAGCCTGTGATTGCTAGTATCAATAGGACAGGTGTTTGCATACGATCTGTTTTCAATTATATAAGCAGCTTAAAGTTTCTGTATAATATTCAGTGAAAACAAAGCTGATTTACAAATGTTACATATGATTTTTCAAAACATAAATATAATTAATTCATATTTTATGTGTTTCCTTGATACATTATTGATATAGAATGAACACATTTCTGAACTGTCCAGAAGGTATACTTCAATGCATTATTTTTGAAACTGATTTTGACACAATTACAGGCATTTCTCTAAAAGTACTTTTTTCCAATTCGATGAAATGCTAATCTTTGTGCAATTAGCCTGTGTTTTTATGGCAGATTGTTATCAAAATGTATTTGTTCATTCTAGGGGAGATAATGATGTTTTATTTTTACATGGATTAATCAGAGTGTTTCCCCCTTGCGTAACCAGATGTAAATAAAATAAAAACAACTTAAAACTTTATTATCAACGTGAATAAATTTTAAATAAAAAAGTCATTGTTTTGTTATTATTTTTGTGTAACTGAAGAAGAACATGCGGTGTAACTTCATGTACAGACTCAATCAAACCGAGTCTGAAATTCTCTTGTAATTTTGTTGTGATTAATGCTTGCGAGGGGTCACTTTGTTTTCCAGATTTGCATAAAATTCATCTACATGATGACAATGTGTGACACCAAGAACCAGGCTCCCAGCTCAAAGTTTGAAAATAATTTTTCATAGGAGTGAATTGGTGGCAATTCTGTTATACTTGGGCATAGTTAAAATAGCCCGTCATAAAATGCGTTAGAAATTATGTCAACATGTTGCATGCAAGCACTTGAGGTCAAAGGTCACACTTGTACGTTCAGTCATATAATGGTTGTGAACACAGTGTAACCTCTGCAGAGCGCCAGAGCAATTACCACTTAACAGTAATATTTATCCCTAAAGTAAAAATTCAAAAAGAATTAACCTCTCTGGAGCAACCAATAACGTTTGTCTCCCGTAAGGTGTTGCCCTGTAGAGTAGTAGAGGTCATTTGCAGTTGGTCATGTCCAGTCCATGACTTTGTCAGTCATTTATAGACTTTGAAGTAATTATGCATAAATGTTTGGCATTTAGCTGATTTATCTCTGTTACACACCTCCTCTTTTGTTTGTGGCAGGTCTATATTTTCGGATAGACCTGTTACACAAAAGAAAATCCGTTATGAGGTCTATCTTTTGCACGTGTAGATGTCTGATCTTGCCAGACAGACTTGGTTATGTAAAACAAGAGGAAAATAGACCTGCCAATGCTCGGACAAAGATAACATTAAGTGTAATTAAAAATTATAAAAAAATGCAATCGTTTTATAACTGTCATAAAAAAATCTGGAGACAAAATTTTAAACAAGGTGATTTTTATTGAATGCACTTAGCAATTATTCCAACATCCCTGCATTGAATTTTTGAATACAAATTAATAGACAGCACATCAAAGTTAAGACACATTTAAGATTCATTTATTCGAGTCATTTTTAATGTCATAATAAATAAATAAAATTAATAATCTAAGCGGTTCTTCTGGCATAAGTTCACAGTATGACAAAAACGAATGCTTTTTATGAAAAGATAACAGTTATCACATAATAACGACTTTAAATCACAAAACCCATAACAACTTAAACGTTCTAGAAAATGCACAGAACATAAAAATTGTACCAAAAAAATCAAATCGGGAAAAAAAAACCTTTCTATTCAACCGGCGAAAAGTCAAAGCTGATTTTTCGGAAATAGGGCATTCTTTTACAAAGAAAGCTACACAACAAGTTTAAAGTAATCTTGTATGTAAATGTAATTCAAAACTTGCCAATAGTGACAGCAAGTACTTTAAGTGGATTGGTCTGCAATTTGTACGTTTCCAATAAGTACATTGTATTTCAAATATCTATATAGAAACACTAGAAATGTATTATCTGGATATTCTTAGAAATATTTTTTAAAGAATGTTAATAAAGTTTTAAGTGATTTAGTATAAAATTTTGTATAACATGTATAAAGAACAATTATATTTTGTTCTAGAACACTTTATTATCTGCTATACAAATGTAATTATTATATAATAATAATATCTGTCACATTTTGCGGTTCGAATCGGAATATCCGTCCCGAGGTGACCCGCCCATTGGGCGGTAACGAGGCTTGCCAAATTACCGCCCATGGGCGGGTGACCGAGGGATGGATATTCCGATCTGAACCGCAAACATATGTTAGATATTTTTTCTTGCATATTCTACCATATTCCATTGTACTTTAAATTCTTTATCTTTAGTTTCAATAAAAATTTATATCATTTAAACCGTAACTACTTTCTTACAACAGCGTATGAATTACAACTTCATTCTTAACGGTAAAATGACGTCATCCCCAGCGTGCCATTGTTCAGCACGCGACTCATCTGGCACCCCCCATGCCAGATGAAATTTCCGGCATGGGTAAAACTTACGGAAACGCCAGTCTGATATGCAAGAATATTGGAACATTTATCTCACATTTGCCAGAAATATACAGACACGTATTTCGTGGTCTGATGCAATGTCTGAAACGAAATACTATCAACATATTAATATTCATTAATGCTGCCTCATTGCATATTTAATTGTTGCCATTGTTTATATACTCTTTGGGATAGTGCTTACGGAGTGAGTTTCTAAAAAAAAAGCTTTTCAAGCTTCCTACTCAATCCGTACAATTTATTACTCGTCCATTATCATGTAAATGTAATGTTTATAAATAACATATTGTTTAAACTAATAATTCATTCTTTTACATAACTTTCAATACAGACCCATTCACTTTGATATTGACAAATGGCATACATGTATTAATAAAATATTGATAATTGCTTCATATTATTTTTGTAAATATAGAATAAACATGTTTTGACTTAACACAAAGTAGATTATGTTATGTTTAAAACTATACACACATAGGTGAACACACAATATGAATACATAGTATCATTAACAACAACTGGCAGTTTTTTTGTGTGTGTTTTTTAAACCAACTTTATTTGACCTGTTAAAGGGAACGCAGCTTCCTATACTCATTTTATTCGTAACTTTATTCAAATTAGATATATCCAGTTAGAATTTCATAAGATTCATGTTATTCTTAAGCAGAACGTTGACTCAAGCTTTTTACCTGTATTTGCGCTGTGTTAAAAAAATCTTTGTGCAAAATATCAAATGCTCGGACCATGCAGCCATTGCTCAAGCCAATAGTTGTGTAAGTTGTGTGACGGTGTGTAAGTTTGATATCGGCCTCGTACATCGATCTTTCTGTTTAGGAAAGAAACATCAAAGGCAAATTAATTCCTTCTAAATCCTATCGGAGGCGTCCACGTCGCGAAAGAGCCACACGACAGGTTTAGGTGAAGTCAGATGATTGGTTGACCTGTCATAACTAACTCGGGAGGATGGCGCTAACAACAGCCGTTTTTTGTCGCTTCCATTTACCACCACTGAATGAAAGACACGTCGAGAAAGATTCAGATTGAAAATTCACCCCTGATGCGGCCTGTACAACCAAACCAGTAATTGCGCAGACGTACTGGCCTATATGGGTTCGACCTTGCGACAACACAAAGGCAAATCACCGCATAATGAGATGAAACTTAAATGAGACACGTACGTGCTTCATTCACTGATTAGCATATTGATTGCTCATCAACAAACTAACAAATTAGGTTAAATTGATATGAGAATTTAAAGATAGCATTCCGTTTGTGCTGTGACAAACGATATACATGTACAGTATTGAATATGGTATCAGAGGCATTCCGTTACAATTCTTTCTCTCTTTTTTGCATTAAACATTAATATTACACTTCTATAGCATCAATAGTTTTGAAATATTGATCAATATTTACACCAGGCTAAGCTTTTAAATATTTCAAAAAAAAAATGTTGCACGTATAAACGACAAACGACGCATAAGATTCTAGTCTAGTCTAGTCTAGTTAGTAACTCGAAATTTCGAGGTAGTAACTCGAAATTTCGAGATAAGTAACTCGAAATTTCGAGTTAGTAAGTCGAAATTTCGAGTTAGTCAAGTCGAAATTTCGAGGTAGTAACTCGAAATTTCGAGATAAGTAACTCGAAATTTCGAGTTAGTAAGTCGAAATTTCGAGTTAGTAACTCGAAATTTCGAGATAAGTAACTCGAAATTTCGAGTTAGTAATTCGAAATTTCGAGTTAGTAACTCGAAATTTCGAGTTAATAAAAAACATACACCTGGCACTAATGCTCTTCCGTAGAGTTAACTATTGATATTCATTATATATTTATGAATGAAATATTGTGATCTGTTGATGACATTAAATGCAAATTTTTATTTTCTATATTTTCAATGTAAAAAATATATTTTCACTGCAGTAAAACATACTTTTCTTCATTTTCAATGAAATCTTGCCGGAATACTTTCTTTTAAATTCAGCAAAACATATAACTAACGGGAAAGCCTTTTGAATCGTAAGGTCAAAAAAGTTAAATAGTTTTCTATAAATAATAGATTTTTAGTTTCATCTCATGGCTTGAAAATGATAATTTTTCAGTCGTGGCTACCGCTACTCGTTAAATGTTTATTTTCATGCCAGTCGATCAAAATAAGTCCCAAATTTAAAGCAAGAAACAAAAATATGAATATCCTTTATCAAACTAGTCTGGTGTGAATTTGTGAAAAATGGTCTTTTTCCCCAATTTCCACAAAAGTCTATTATCAATATAGGAGAAATCCAAAAGGAAAACTGAAGTTTAAGCCCGATCTAACTGCACAAATGTGCAGACTGGACTAGCTCTTTTACTGGTGTTTCCAAAAAGGTGAACTAAAAACGATTGACGCGCTCAACTATTGATTATGTGTCAGTGGTAGTTTGTGTTGGGTTTTTCATTTGTTCACGTGATTACGTACGCACTGGATGTTCCTGACGGAAACACGACATTGTTCTGAACGATAATACTGTAACATTTTTTCGTTTGTTAAAAGAGTACTTTTTTTTATCCAAGCAATCATGAAATTGAAATTGGTCGAAAGTTGCATTACAAAACCCTGTATTTGTCTTTTTATACTTTTCATGCACCTGTCGTTAACAACAGCAGTCTGGAACAATTATTTGGGGATTAAATCAAATAGCTGGAGATTCGCGAATGTGTCTCAAGTCAAACTAATGCTGGAGAAAACAGAATGCCTCGCTATGTGTGAGAATATGGTCGGATGTGAGACTGTGAATTATAATTCTGTCACAAAGTCTTGCGAGCTGCTCAATCCCGGTCCATGGATACCAAGTGACATATCAGCAACGGAATCAAATTGGACTGTATATTATAAAGGTTTGTATTCAATAGTTTGTATTATTTTTTTTTATTGTTCCGCATGATTATCCAATATATTTCCATATTGGACGTTTTTGAGTATATGATTATACTATTTTGGACAGTTATATACGTCTGGCTCCCTTTGTAAGGTCAATGATAAACGCTGTTAACGATAAAAAGATCCGAATTAATTCTACTAAGAACTATACCATAACTTATTTCGGACTTTCTTAATATAATTTGGATTGAAAATAAACAGTTTAACAGTTTATTAAAAATTAAACAAGTTTATCACATACCCTAGCGATTTTGTTGCTGAGTTCAATATAATTATACTATATTGGACAGTTACGACAGTTAGTTTATCACATAGCCGTGTCGATTTTTCGACTCCATTAGCGTGACACTATAGGCGCGTCATTGAAAAATGATTCTTTTTCAATTTAAGCACAATCTTTATTTTGGATATGTGATAAATAGAATTTAATATTCATGTAATTTCTCCTTATCTGTGTATGAAATAGGAATTTAAGTGAATTAATTATTATTCTTGAAATAATAAACATTTCAATTTACAATGAGATATACCTTTAATGTTTGTGCTCGTAGAGTCAAATTATCTCATTGGCAAAAATTACATTATTACGGATGGAACACCGTTAGGGCCATCGTAGTTAAACGTTACGACAATGCGATAGTGCAATGACGATAATGCGAACATACGACAGTGCGACAACGCGATTTAGAGTATAGTACCGCGATGGCGACAACGCGATAATAGTATTGTCGTCATCGTTATATCCCATTGTCGCCCTCTAACCATGATGGTCCTAACTGTATTCTATACATTAAACAGGCGACCGGCAGATTGGTGCAGTTGATGTTTGGCAGACGTCAACTTATACAAGGGTTATTGCACTCTCGGCTGATTTGGCTGCTGACGGCAATCGCGACAACACCGGTAATGTAAGATGTGCCCATACTGAAGACTATCAATCAGCCTGGGGAATGGAATTTGAGAACGAAGCAGAAGTGTCTCACGTCATTTTGTACTTCAACAACAATAAGCGATTTAGTAAGTTATTAACCAAATAATTGTCACAATTAACATAAAGTTCCAAATGCTTTTTTATAATTTATAAACAAGATGTTTAAAATAGTATGCCTGGTTGACAATATTCAAACCCCGCTTTTTCACATTTCCGATCTGTTTACAGATACCCGTTCAATTATTTCATTCGCAATTTCATATTGGGGATGTCGGATTCAAGTCTATAAAAAAATTTTTTATCAGATTACAGAAACGCTAACTTGCGTTTGCTGATTTCCGGAACGCGTCAAGATTCTGCCAACAACATCGGCACTGACTGCGCCACGTATCCGGGACCCCCTGCATCACCCCTTCCACCGGTGAAAGTCACGTGTACACTTCCGGTCACAGGAAAATTCTTGAAGATTATGGTCACTGGCCATCACCTTAATTTATGCGAAGTGGAGGTTTTTTCTACATAGATGTCGCTCTGGCGGCCATTTTTTTAAAGGCACATTATACCTCAGATACACATTTTTATAATTCTTTAGAAATTTGACAATGTTTTAATAGTGTAATATTAGAGCATGTAACATGTTTAACAACCGACGAAAATAGCATGCAGTAAAGTGTTGTAAAAGTATCACAATGTAAGCAAACTTGAAGTAGTTGTTTGAATTCCATACAAAAACTCATTTCAAATAAATATATCAGTTGGAAGCAAAAGATAGTTCCTCTGTATGGCAAATGAGTATTTTCTATGAAATCTGTAACAGAATACCAAACATAAAATATTTTGTGAAATTAAAATGGTATCATAACGGGCCTTTAAATTGGATAGATATTTTTTCCAGATGTATCAGATTATTTATAGTTTAAGTGTTGTTTTATGTTTTATTAATTTGTCTTATTCTTATATAGTATGGGGGACTTCACAATGCTATCAATATTGAAAACTTTGAATTTTGCTTTATGGTATTATATACATGTAGTAAGATATAATCTACAACATCATAGATATGTTAAGATTATAAGATTTGGGTCAATGTTAACAGCTGATGCAGATAATTATATACCCCGAAAATAACTCTCCTGTGTGACTTTGATCTACCGACTATATACATCGGGTTTACGAAGTATGACGTGTACGGGGAGCTTGTATTTTATACGCTTTTAAAGTAAACTCCACTGATAACGATATCAATTATAACAATAAACCACTCATAACGATATGCCGCTTATAACGATATTCCGCTGATAACGATAAACCGCTGATAACGATTTTGTTGCTGCAGTCCCGCCTCTTGTTTTCAAATTGGTGGCCTCTCGGATATAACGATAACCGGATAGAGAGAAATTCGGTGCTTCCCTGAATATCGTTATAAGCAGAGTTTACTGTATGTATATTTTAAATGATGTATTCATGTAAACAATGTTCATTCATAGCACAAACATCTCGGGAAATTCAGCATGTACAATATTTTATGCAGGGAATTAGTTTATTTAGAATTTTAATTTTGTTTTTCTTATACTATGTATTTCTAAAAGTTCCGAAATTTAGAGAAACAACACCCAACCTTTATAAGGTTATAAACTTTAGGTAGAGTCTGACAGATGGCAAAGACTAAAATATTGTTAGCAAAAAAATGGTGTACAAAATGTTAAACTGAATTTCGGAAAAAGTCTTAGTAGAGTACTTGAACATACATTTTATGTCAAGGCTGCAAGCCTTCAGATGATCCAAAATATTTCAAGAAATCAAATCTGATAACAATGAACTGAGCTATTAAGAAAAGTAAAGAGATTCAAAAATAATAGTTATAATGTTCACATTATATGCGTTTAATGACCGATTTTGCAGTATTTTTCATTATATTTCTACGGCTTTGCTAACGCAATAATGGCTTTTTGCATATTTTGACCTCCTGTTTTGGTAATTTGCAAGTGCCGTTTGTAATTTTGTAATAGTTTTTTGTTGTCGTTTTTTTGTTGTTGTTGTTAACTTTACAAAGTTTAATATTTAAATACATTTTCAAACTTTTCATTGAAGTAAACATGAATCTGCATGCGTGTTTGTAAAAAGCCATATTAATTGAACGTTTTTGTACAAATTTAAAAACTTTAAAATTACATTGTTTTCATAACCTAATGGTAATTATTTGAAAAAGTTGTAACAGATCGAGAATGTGTCTGCTAATTAACACATATAATTACGAACATCAGAGTAAAATAATCCCCTTCTAATACTGCATGTAGTTGGTTCGGCTATCAAATGGTACATGATTAACTCATTTTTACTAAAATTAACAAACAACTTTCTTTTATTTCATATTTTATGTACCTATTTAAAGAAATTAATTATATAAACATTAACATTAGTTTTGCTGTCCAAAGACCATAAATATATAGCTTTATACACTGAACTGATCTCGTGTTGTTTAAGTACTTTGAAACCAGAAGCTTCGCGCATTTGACTACTATATTTGTCCTTTTTTATTAGAAATTTGATATCTTTTGCAGTTTTGATTTCCATATTTAAGAGAGATGTTCAATATTTAAAATC